AAAATTTTTGGTGTAATAAGCAAACCTGGCCACCTCACAGCTCATTTGCAATTCCAGATTGTTCATGAATATGTTGAAGAGCATTCCCTAAACACCCAATGGGACTCAGCTCTGTTTACATCCCTTTGTTAAGAGACTATACCATTTGTTCCTACTATCTGCTTTCTGTTCTTTAATCAGATGATGATCTTTCTAGCCAAGTCAGCATTTTGAGATTGAGATAATGCAAAATACATTGTATGACTTAACAGCAGTAGCATTTTCAGCAGTTGCCTGGTGAATTCTTATTTAACTCTTTGCAATATGTAATATTATTCAAATCCTGCTTCATAGATTTGCCTACAGGTAGTTGTGGTGAGGTTACACTAAAGCAAGGCATGTATGATACCAAAATATGAATAATTGTTATGGCTAAAGTATACGGAGGTGACATCAGGCTTGAGAAGCTGAAATAGCTAAATACATAAAAGCACAAAAGAATTTGTATCTAGTTTAATTTTATTAACATAGGTTCAAGACCATTAAACCTAGATGCCTGAAACCTGGCATGCATACTGCAGGTTGTTTTGTTTTTTAAAATGCATTAATTAGTTAATCTTAATTTAAATGTATCCATGTTATTTGAAGCCTTCCAACATTTTGGCCATGGGAGCAGACTTCCCCAACCAGCGCATGGCATTGCAGTCCATATAGCTTGAACCAGAGGAGAGTAGTAGACCAAGAAACATAATTATATGTCTGTTCCTCTGCTCCTGAGGATCAGCCATTCTTTAGGGAATGGAGTGAACAGATCTCTCAGTAAAAGAGCTGTAGAGGTACACCTGACAGGGGTTGTTGCCTAAAGTTGCCAGTGGGATGACCTCACTCAGATGGGGCAGGCATGATGCATTCAGCTCTCTGAGGGCTGTATAGATTTTCTTGAAGGCTTTGTTGAACCAAACTAAGGGCTGTTTAGTAGATGAGGGAAAGTCACATGCCTGCTTTCTCTTGCCTCATATGGGGCAGTCCTCTTATAAGAGAAGTGAGAAGACCTCTCTCTTAGGGGTCTGTGGGGTACACTACAGCAGGGGCTGTATCTAGTATTGCCAGTGATCATTCATACAAGGCAGGCACAATGGATTGAACTCTGATTCTGGCATTTCTGATTGTAGTGTCTTGACAGTCATCTCAATGAGATGGTGTAACTTAGTGTCCTGCAACAGCAGGGGTTGGAGCTGATGGCCTTCTGGCCCCTTCCAACTCTACTATTCTATGATTCTATGACAGTTGCATAAATTTGCTTCTAACCGTCACTATCAGCATAGGGCCTGTTCCCACTCATGCAAAACTGGATCTGTTTGCTTGTAAATAAACAGTCCTATTCAAACACTGAAAAACACTGCAGCCAAAATAGTTAAGCAGTAGGGCCCGAAGTCAAGTGGTATACTCCCAAGGATATTTGGTATAAATGGCAAACAGATGAGGGATCTTGACTCTAAGATGGGAAGTGAGAGCTCAGCCACACCTCTGGGAAAAATTATGGTTATCATTTTTCAGTTACCATGTGAATTAAAAGTAAAGCAGAAGATGGTGAGTCATCTATATCTTTCCTGCTCTGTACAGATTTCACAGGTACGAGAACATGAAAAGACAGTGAAATATGATTCATATTAAAGTTCCTATTATTAAGATGTGTTATATAGACAGGCATTCTAGGAACAGGAATTAGGCTCTCAGGCAGTTGTTGAAGCAGTGAGAAAAGAAATGAAAATAAGAGACACTCTAGATATTGCTTTCTGATAGGAATTCTGGAAGGTTGGAACTTGATCAGCCTGTCTAATGAAAACATGATTGCACCCATGGCAGCCATTTTGTGTGAAGACCATCATGTTGTTTTGGATCATTCCGTACATTGTGAGTTATTCTAAAGGAATTCCTGATGTATATTCAAAAGTCCCTCTCACTGACATCAATGTATGTGTGGGTGTGTTTCTCTTCAACAGTAGTGTTTTCACAGTCACTGAATTCCATGCTTACCATTTGTTGACCTTCAATAATATAGTAACTTCTTCTTAAATTCTTAATTGGGAACAACTGTGTCTCATTTAAACGTTAGAGTAAATTAAACCATTTAACATAACCAACTCTGTTGGCTCTTCTGCTGCGACCATGAAAAAGTGATAAGGGCTATACTATATGAGGCTGGAATCATGATACCAAGGGTAGTAGATTGCAGTAGATGCAGAGGCAAGAACTGTGGAACATGGGGAAGGTGGATTGCTTTAAATCAAGGTGATTTAAATAAGCAAGAAAATGATTGATTTTTTCCCAGTTGAAAAATGGTTGAAAAGTTTCCACTTGAAACTCTTGCATACATTTCCTGAGCAATAGTGTTAATCGAACCACTAAAGCTAACTAGAGGTTGCAATCACGTGTCATGACAAACAACTCTGGGTGGTTACTACAGGTCACAGCTTTTTACCTCAGTGTGTCTGAGAAAAGATCAGGCTCATGGTGGCAACTCTCCTCTCTCTCACCATTTTCTTCCCTCTCAGTCTTTCAGCACTATCCCAGGAGACACTACGGGAAAGAATGAGGCACTTCTCTTTGACAGTTGAAATCTCCCACCTCTATTCAAGTTCAAGGAGCGTCTGTTGTACAAACAGGGCTCATGCCCTGAAGTGCAGCAGAGAGGATAAAGAAATGATTGGGAACCCAGAGGGGATTGCTGGAGCGGGGCTGGGGGGCGGGGATCAGCTGGGCAGTGCTGTGGAAAGGGGCAGTGCCGCTCAGCTGATTTCCCTTCTGCTTCCCTATGCATGGTAGAGAGAAGCCCCTTGCACAAGCAGCAGAGAGAAGTCCTTCATGCACATGGCATTGGCAGGGGCAAGAACCAGCTTGGTAGCAATGCCCGTTTGGGGTTGTGCTGCTCAGCTGTATCCCCTACCACCCCACTCCATGAGCAGCAGAAGAATGCCCCTTGCATGAACAGGATGGTGCTTGATGGATGGCAGTGCTGTTCAGCTGCTTCTCACACTTATCCTCCCTTTTCATTCCCACTTGTGAGAGAGGTGTCCCAATCTGGGACCCACCTGACAAATGCGCTGGATTGGGAATGCCTCTCCAAAAATCAGGAGTAAGAATGGGGGTGGCAGCAGGGAAATCAACTAAAATGTTCTACCTTTTCCCCAGCATCAACCATTTAATCACCTACTCTTGTTTCGGAGAAGATCTGTATGGTAGGAGGCAGACAGATTGGGGAGAGACACTTGCACAAGATGTTGTCACTGGCACTCTCTGGCCAGTCGTTGGCTAGTCACTGGCCTTGCTACCAACATGAGTTGTGTTTTCTGGGTTTGAATGACACAACAAGCCATTATGGTACTAAGAAACCATAGAACAGGCTGTTGTTTCTGTTCCTGGCTTTTATAAACCAAACATACTCTGCTGAAATGCCACAATAGGGTTTGAGTGACATGACAGGCCAGCAGTAGTAAAAAGCCCGCACCATGGCTTGTCCTGTCATGCAAACCTGCCCAGAGTGTTATTTACACTGTTTCATTCATACTAGCAGTTTTTATTTCTTTGTCTCACTGCATAGGTTTTGTATGCTTTCTTTTTTTCGTATAGACACGGCATGTTTAAAAAATTGTCATGAAGAATCTCTTTTATGACTAATGCTCATGATAATTGACGTTAACAGCACCATCATATATGCATATATGTTCCATTGTGTTCACTGGGGCTTACTTAGAAGCAAGTGATTTTGTAAGTTCATTTTTTTTAATCGATCCTCCTATCTTCTGTCTTACCTAACTCCCTTGGCCCAACTCCACCACAACATAAGCATGGAACAATAATTGTATTCAGCTTTTGCTGAGAAAGCACAAATTTGCATTAAAACAAAGTATGTTCCCTGAACATGCCTTGTTTTAAAGTGAAAATGTGGCTTTTTAAAATGTCACTGCCATTGTGTTGCTAATTTTGGTGGCAATCTTGCAGTAACAACTTTGGGACAGCCATGTTGCAAAGGAGGTTGGAGAGGCATCTGTGGACTGCATGCTGCCCACTCCTGTTCTAGAATATGGAACAATGTGAAATAGAACTTGTATTCATCAGATCTGCTTAAAATTTGAAGGAAATTATACACCAGTGTTTCATTTATAGCATTTTTTCCCAAAATGTATTTACAGAGGTGGCCATAAATCTGTCAACAATATGTGAACATTTTAACTGTATTTTCCTTGTTCAAGCATTCTTTCTGAGCACAAGAGGGCTTAAACTGGGTTGCAGGATAACTCTCTTCAGACTTTGCTGATTCAATACGGTAAAGTCTGAACTCAGGAGGGCAGGGTTAGCAGCTCAGAGATGTGGAGAGGGCAGGCTCAGTGTGTATGGCTCTGTCCTTCTCCCCTCTTTAAGCTGTCAGGTTTCAGCTGAATACCAGAAAAGCACTATAGCCATGTACCTTTCCCTGATTTCTGGCTGCTCTATGTAAATATGGAAACACAGTGTCAGGGCTGGCCCCTAGACAACAGCTTAGCAACATGCTTAACTTTTAAACTAATGTGGTATGTGGGTGTGTGGTTTGCTATAATCAGAGCGTACAAGTACAAATATAGTATACTTTTTCTATCCAATATTTGTTCTCTTTGACAATATAGCTTGTGGGTTCACATATGAAGAATAGTAAGTGCCAACCATTACTTGCTATGTCTTCTGTCTGTGCAGGAGCAAATGTAAGTATGTATTCTGTACACAACATACACAGCTGTGTGGTTCATGCAACCTGTAATTAGCCTAGAGATGCGGAAAACAAATTTCAATTTTCTGTCTTAAAAACTCACGACTTGAAAAATAACTTGTCAAAACTGAGATTTTTCAGAAACTAGTATATTCAAAAGAATACTAATGCTTGTACTCAAGTTTTTTCTAGTAATAATAGGCAAGAATACTGTCAGTTTATGTGATTAGCAAATTACAGTATATCTTAATTTGGACTCTTACTTTTTTCCTTGCAGTTCCCAGAGTGTGGGTTTTTTGGCATGTATGACAAAATTCTCTTGTTTCGCCATGACCTGAACTCAGAAAATATTTTACAGCTGATTACTTCAGCTGAAGAAATACGTGAAGGTGACCTTGTTGAGGTTGTTCTGTCAGGTAAGGATACTATATTTGCAGTGAAATACTTTTTTGAACATACATTGTGACTGATACATGAAACCATAATGAAGAATTGCTATTGCCATAAAGAAATTTGAAACTGGTAAGCCTCTATATAAATATTTATTATATGTTACTTGGCACAAAGTTGATGAAATGTCATCTTACTCAACTACTCTCTAGAAGTGGAATTAGAGGAATACCTGAATTCTTAAGTAATAAATTGTATCACCTTAATTTACTTTACTTATAGAATTAGTAAGTAATCTTGTTTTTCACGTGGCCCATATTCAAAAGCAACTGTGCCAAAGTCTTTACATAAGATTATTTTAACAATGCATGTGTGCTGTAGCATTTGAACATAGTTGTTAGAGTTTCAGTACAGACCAGTCTTCCTGATGATGGTATCAGTATTTTAAAGGAAATTGTTTCAGCCAGTATTGAAGATTAGTGCAGAAACTTAGTTCATTTTCACCACTTTTTATTTTTAAGCATTGGCTACAGTTGAAGACTTCCAGATTCGTCCCCACATGCTTTATGTGCATTCTTACAAGGCCCCCACTTTTTGTGACTATTGTGGAGAGATGCTTTGGGGCTTGGTACGGCAGGGGTTGAAATGTGAAGGTAAGCTGATCAGTAATGGTGAATCTTACGCACGATGTTGCTATGCTAAAGTGTCTGGAAGCCAGTATAGAAGGCCTTGTAGAAATATGCACACACACCCTTTGACTTTTGCAAAATTTGCTGTGTTACACTCTGAAATAGATTTAATTGGCATTGTTACAACTAATGTATACAAGCTATACAACATTGTGACTGTACAAAATATTTTTTATTGTGGCACAAAATAAACTGGCACTTGTTGGTTGTATAAGTATTGACTCCTTTTCATATGGTGTGCCTAGATAAGCTTTGGTGCAACCTGCTGCTTCCAGAAGGCAACATAACTAATTGAATGGAGTCCACCTGTTTATTTACTTATTTATTAGATTTGTATCCTGCTTTTCCCTTAAACTCAGAGTAGCTTACACTATTGTCCTCCTCATGCTCTCAATCTTATCCCCATAACAACAACCCTGTGAGGTAGGTTGGACTGAGAGTCTGTGGCTGGCCCAGAATCACTCATGGCGGAACAGGGACTAGAACCCAGATTGCTTGAGTCCCTATCCTGCACTCTTAACCACTATACTACACTGGCTGTACACCTGTTGGCAATTCCAGTGTCACATGATTTCTGCTTCCAGAAGGCCCCAGAGTTCGGTGGCAAAAATATCTATGCAAACAGCATTATGAAGACCAAGGAGTAAGCAAAACAGCTCCAGGATAAAGTTTTACAAGAGCACCAATCAGGCTTGGGTCATAGGAAAAACAATCTAAACCAGTAATGGCGAACCTTTTAGAGACTGAGTGCCCATATTGCAACTCAGAACTCACTTATCGCAAACTGCCAACACTGCAATAAAACCTGAACGTGCTGACCACCAGCACAAGGGGGCATTGTTTCACTGACCACCAGCTTTTGACCGGCCCTGAAAAAGGCATCTGAGTGTATTTCCTACCTTTCCTACCTTCTGCTAAAATCACAGTCCAAGCAAATCCCTGGCAGCTTACTGACCGGCCATGCAAAAGCTCCAAGCTCTTAGAGTCTCAGCTAATGAGTGACATTGTTGCCTGGCACCCTTAATCTTTCCGAATATGCTCATGGCTTCTCCAGATCATGTGGCTGACAGAGAGGGCTCTGCGTGCCCCTTAGGGCACGCATTCCATAGGCTCACCATCACTGACCTAGATTATGAAAATCCCCTGGAACATGGTTATATTCATTATTATAAAATTGGAAAATTAACAGTAGCCCCTCCCCCAAATCCCACCATTTTCAATCCCACCAGACATAATGGGAGTTTGTTTTAATACAAATAGCCCAATCCTAAGGCTTGGGAGCTATCCTAGAAGGTTTAGGCATGGGTCCTCAAACTACGGCCCGCGGGATGGATCCGACCCGCCATGGCCATCCATCTGGCCCACGCCACTGTTCACCGCCTGCGCGCGCGCTTGCTGCGTGGGCAGGGAGGTGGTGGCTTGCTCTCTCAGAGATGGTCTCCAAGCGAGCAAGCCGCTGCTGCCTGCCTCCCGTATGTGCACGCTCAGAGATGGTCCCCGAGCGAGGAATCCGCCACCGCCGCCTGGCTCCTGTACTCGCGCGCTCGCCACTGCCTTGCTGCACGGGCGGGGAGGTGGGGGCTTGCTCACCTTTGGTTTTGGACTCATTGGGAGATCTCCCAGCAAGTCCAAAACCATCTCCAAGTGAGCAAGCTGCCGTCGCCTGCCTCCCCCACGCACGCACACATGCTCGCCGCTGCCTGGCAGCGTGGGCTGGAGGCTGTGGCTTGCTCACTTGGAGATGGTTTGGGACTTGTTGGGAGATCTCTGAGCCACCGCCACATGTGCCCGATGCCGCCTTGGCACCTCACGGGCCTGCGCCCCCAGGCACCCCCACCTCACTGGCCCGCGACAGTAACTGCAGCCTTTCAACTGGCCCCCGTTCAAAAAGTTTGAGGACCCTTTGTTCAGGGGTGTGCAAAGTGCAAATACTAATATACCTATTAGTATTAACATGATACCAGTGCTTCAGGCAGACCTGCCGATGCAAATATTTTGGGATGACATGTTAAATAGAAGATTTCCTTTGTTTGCCCAAGCATATTATAGCTGATGGAGAAAGTTCCATATGGTTGATCCCTTTCCATGTAGTATTTGTTCTGTGGGCTGCAGGATCTTTCCCATTTGTCCTGTCAATAACCTGTTTTTCAGGCATTAGTAACCTCACAAGTATTGCCCACTGGCTTCAGCTCAACTCCTAGAGTTTTAGCAAAGCCAGTAGTACGATGTTTAGATAGTCTGCCAGGGAAAGGAGAGCTAAGGAAGATCAGCAGCAACATGAATTGCATAACAAGTCCTGTTTTCGGGCTTTAGTCAGGGTGCAGCAGGGTCAGAAAAGCAAGCATTGAGGCCAAAAAATGTCCATGTATTTAGAATTCTTCTGTTAATTACGATGGCCCCTACAGTCTTCTAGGTGGTGATTAAAAATTAAATTATTTGGGTCAGCTTTGCCATATTAGTCTAAGTGTTCACTTTTTATTTCCTTATGCAGTATGAGTAAGTTTACAAGTTGTTTACCTTTTTCCCCTCCCTATTTTGAACACTAATTTCATTAGGGTGTGGATTAAACTACCACAAGCGATGTGCCTTCAAGATCCCAAACAACTGCAGTGGAGTGAGGAAGAGGCGTTTATCTAATGTATCTCTGCCAGGAGCTTCACTTTCAGTCCCACGATCAGTACAAACTGAATATGCAGCCACAGCCACAACCACAGAAGAGGTATTTCATCCCCCCTTGAAGGAAAAAAAATGTTAACTCGGATTAGATAAACTGCCACCATCAATGCACAACACCTGAATTCCTGCTTTCCATGAATAAATGGAGTTCTTTATTTATATTTAGTCTTAATCTGAGTTGGCGTTCACCTGCTCAAACAGTCTTATAGGCAGCTTTCATTCCCAGAATATAGTTCTGAACATTTGTTTATTTCTAAAGCTTTCCTATAAAAATATCAAAAGGTGTTATTTAAAAATAGTAAGCACAAAAACCGTTTAAATCTATGAAGTAATAAGGGTGCCTTTGGGCATCTGCAGTGATGTCTTTTCTGAAGGAAAACTCTAGTAAGCTCTATACTTAACATGATGGGGCAGAAACCCTTTCTGACACCATAGCTGCTGCTGATCATTTTTTGTATTTGATGCAAGGCCTCTTCTGGTATAATCACTGGGTAAAAGCCAGTGTTACAGAAGTAGAAGGCAAGCTCATACAGTAGGTCTTTCCCTTTTCCTTCTTCCCACTGTAGCCCCTCATGTCTCTCACTGGCTTCTCCAGAGGGTCAGAAGCTATAGAACATTGTGAGATAAGACAGGACTGCAGTAGGAGAGAGAATATTGCCAAAATATTGGGAACTTTTTAATGTGGTGTCAGACAGCCTCACTCAATTTCAGATGATTGCCTGCATTCCACAACAGTATAGAGGAGGAGGAGGAGGAGGAGGAGGAGACGATACAGATCCATTGTGTAAGCTTGTCTTCTGCTCAATCCATACTGGATTTCATCCACAGTCTTTCCCTTTTCACTTGCCCCCGACTCGTACTGAATCTTGTGTATGCTTGCATATTTGTTTTGCCTTCTTGGTATTGTTTGTGTATTTATACTTAAACTCCTTATCAATATGGGTAGGATTCAGACTTAATCACCCTTGGAGCAGACTCACTGAAATCAATGGAACTTGACAAGCTAGTTGGGTTCACTTGCTTTCAAGGGGTCTACTTGAAGTATATTTATGACAATCCTATGCATGCTTAGATAGATTTTTTTAAAACAATGCCCAGCATTCCCTTGCCAGCCATGCTAATTATGGAATAGTAGGAGTTGTGAGACTTTTTAGAATGCAGACATATGTAGGATCACACCTGAAGTCTTACACAAACTCAAGCTGAGGCTTAGCTAGAAAATATTGTGCAAAATTAGACTATAAGAACATGCATAATTATACTCTGAATGTAAAAGGAAAAGTTGACAGTTCTGCAGTGTCTTGTTGCAGGCAATTCTGTTCATTTGTGCAGAGGTTGCAGTGATACTAAAGTACAAAACTGTTTCCAAAACAACATTAAAGGCTTCCAGATTAGATGGTGTGACTTTACTTAGGCCTGAATGCATACATCTCTCATTCAAGGAATAAAGCACTGCCTGGTGGTCATTGTACATGGACCTTAAGCAGTGTTGGCAGGTCTTAGCTTAAACAGGGCATGGCTTATGGGATTAAACTGGTGAACTTGCTCAGAACAGGTGGAGAAGTTCTTGTTTTCAGCTCATAGGAGGACTGGTGCAGCAATATGTTGGATTCTGTGTTACATAGAGCTCTTCATCAGGCACAATTTTTCCAAGCTTAAGTAGAAACAGTGTTTCATTTCATAAAGATTTAGGCTGCTGTTGGTGAACAAGGACTGAAAAGGTTTTAAAAGCTAGGAGGCTGGTGAAATGACTTGGAGAATGATGTTTTCATTGTATTTGGATTACCATCTGAATTCATGAGCTGAAGTTCTCTGTGTGTGATCTTCTTGTTAGCGTTGTCATCCAGAGCCCAGTAAGAGGATTCCTTCTTGGAGTGGGCGCCCAATATGGATGGAAAAAATGGTTCTTTGCCGGGTGAAGGTTCCACATACCTTTGCTGTTCATTCTTATACTCGGCCCACCATTTGCCAGTACTGCAAACGGCTTCTCAAGGGCCTCTTTCGCCAAGGAATGCAGTGTAAAGGTATTTTACAGCAGAATGGTTAATCTCTATAAATAAAGTTTTGAATACACTCAAGCATCAAACCAATGTTCAAATGAAAACGATTCAGAGAGTAGGGTTGCAAGCTTTGAAGTATTCTTGTCTTTCCTTATTGGGCAGACGCTTTTTCTTTCTTTTTTTAACTTACCACGTAATCTTTTTCTACACAGCACAGAAATTCCTATCTCATCAGTGGTTGGTCGCATCACACTGCTGTACTGACAGGCATAGGATTGTGAATTTCCCATAAATACATATAAGTGGGACCTTTGTGAAAATGTTTCATTATGGAGTTCTTCTGTTTAGGATTCCTGCAGCACATCTTCTCACCTCCCACACTGTTTTGGCCCTTGGGAACACCTGGTTATGGGGTTGCAGTGGGAAGGGACTGTTAGAGAGAATCACCTCTGTTCCCCCATGGCTCTTCCAGTAGGAAGGCCTTGTCAGCAGAGTTCTGTTCCTAGGAAGTCTAATTGAACCTTAATAGATCCTCAATGCTGATCATTTCCATATTTGTATAGTGTCTTACTTTTGATATATTTAGAGTTTTAATAGTGTATGTGGGAGAGGTATAGTGGATACCAGAATACCTGAAGTAACGTCTCCTTCCTCATATGCCCTCACGCCCTTTAAGATCTGCGGGAGAGGCCCTGCTCCGGGAACCCTCCTGAAGGAGGTAAAAAGGACATCTACTTGGAGTAGGGCCTTCTCTGCGGTGGCACCCAGATTGTGGAATGTACTGCCCAGAGAGGTTTGCCTGGTGCCGAGCCTATATTTTTTTTGGCACCAGTTTAGAACCTTTTTATTTAAATGTCATTTTAAAACTTAGTAGTTTTAATAGTTTAACAGTCACTTTGATTTATTTTGTTGGTTATATATTATTTTATTGCATTGTTTTATTGATTGCTTTTATTAGTTGTACGCCATCCTGAGACAACTGTTGTAAAGGACGGCATATAAATGTTTTAAATAAATAAATACAGTTGGCAAACTGGCTGTGTGAATAAGCCTGCTGAAAAGGTTTGCTAGCCTGCTGAGGGTGGGCTGAGAGTTTAGTTTGCTTCTCAACAGCCTGATGTAGCTTTGTGCTTGCTGCAAAGATGGATGGAGCATTCCCATCAGCTTGCATACTTTTCTACATGCAGTTCCTTGTTACTAGTGGCTACCATGTGAATACTTAAATGCAACGTGGGAACTTAACTGTAGTTAGGAGACTGGTGGTGCTAATGTTATGCTAAGCTGTGGTAGTGTCTCAGCTTTATACTAAGGCATCTTATCAAGCTGTTCATCCCTCTCATCATTCCAATGAATAACTTGGAGCTGAAAAAGAAGGAACATGCCAGTGATGTAATGAGAAAGTCGTGTTTCCTGATCATTTCCACATATGTCCTGAAGATAAATTTTGCTTCTGTGTAAGGGATGTTTCACAGGAGTTCTTTCTGAAATACTGAAAATGTAAGTTTTTATTTTCTTGTTTAGATTGCAGGTTTAATTGTCACAAACGTTGTGCCTCTAAAGTACCTAAAGATTGTCTTGGAGAAGTAGTGTTCAATGGAGGTAAGAACAAACATGTCTTGGAAAAGTAAAGAATTTATGGAATGATAAAAATTGGAATCTTTAATTTTAGCCACTTCTCATCTTTCAACACAAAATATCAGTATTAATGTTCCTTCTTTTTTACATTGCATTCTAAGCGGTCTTGAAAAGAGTTTGAATGGTAGACATAAATATAATTTTAATACATTGTTTCTGTATTTTGCAAATTTTATTATGAAATATTTGAGAACAGAAAAATATGGTTGAAAGCCCTTGCTGAAATGTGACAGAGTAGCATCTTGGCCTGTTCAGCATGGTTGATTGGAAGAGCTAGAAAGAATACCCTTATCTTTCCTTATTCTTGACCTGGTCAGCCATTTCAGAGTGGTAACAGACTTTGCAAAAGGACCATTTCCACAGGCCTCCTTCCCTTTCTCTTAGCGCAACCTTTCTTAACTGGGTGTCCTCTGTGTATGTTGGACTACAAATCCCACTGTCCTTAATCAGCATAAACCATGCTGACTGGGAATAATGGAATTCATAGTCCAATACAGCTGGAAGGTCCCAGGTCTGGAGCAGCTGTACAAGTTTAACTTTAATTCTGTGGTATTAACTGTAGATGAAGGACCAAATTCCTCATCTAGAAGATGATGTGCTATGGGGAACGTGCACAATTTTTCATAGCAAAAAGGTGCTACTTTCTGAATTGGCTCTAAATCATCAATTCCATTTCAGTCAGACATTAATTTTTTGTTGTTGGGGGAGTAGAATTAGCTTCAGCCATTTTGATCTTTTCTTCTTGGCTCCTTGTACTACTCACATTTGCTCTTATGGAATTGGCTTCCTAGCCCTGATCCTGGTTTCATAATTTGTGTGGTGTGTGGAACCTTATATTTGACACCTCTGTTTTAATTGCTAGTCTCAGTTAGGATTGTCCTTGGTCAAGTATTATACATTCCTCAATCTGTTCTGTGTAGCAGTGATTAAAATAGAATACTTGCTAAAGCTAATTGAATGAAGTGGTGGAGGATTTAGTTGTTCATGTCAAATTCCTCTTCTGTAGTTTTGTTCCTGCAACTGCCTTAAGAGATAGGATTGTTTCTTCCACCCTTTCTGTGTGTGAGAGAAAGAGTGTTAGTAAGTTGTGGTTAGGGATTTCAGTGAAATCTTCAACAGTTTCAAACATGTTTAGATTTCTGTGAATCTGACCTGCAGATTCTGCAGTGGACTTGTGGATAGGATTTTTTTTTTTTTTAGTTTCCAAAATTTTGCACAAATTGAATTGTAGAAAATGAATGAAAATGCTCCCCTCTCATAGACTAAAATGTGAATGGGAGGATTGTACATTTTTTGCGACTACACATTATATAAGTTTAGGAAATACCAAAATATTCTAACAAAAAATTTTGTTAAATCTTTTTCACAAATTTTTAGGTACAATGGAATGAAAGATGCCTCTTGGTATGCGGAAAAGATTTAACAGAAATGGATTTAGCAAATCTAAACATCCCTTGTTGTGACTGCCTGTGTTTCACAGTTCTGGTGTGCTTGAGGCTGCAGGAAACTAGACTGAATTTGCATCGGTAATGAACCAGGTGTAAGGGAGTTCTGTTCTCAGATTCCCATCCTGTCCACACCCTTTCCTGGAAAGACCTGGTCATGATGATGTTACATCAGAGGATAGGGAGTCATCTGGCACAGGAGATGGAAGAACTGTGTGTATGCCAACTTTCCACTGATGGAAAATTGCCCTGTGTCAGGAAGTACCTGCATAGCATGAAGTAGACTTTGCAAAATAAAAAGCTTCGCCCAAATGTTTATGCCAGTTCTTCTGTCTTGGCTGTATTTGGCTGAATTTCTGTACTTTTGCTACATATAAACAGAATGGTGCATCAGTAATGTTGTCAGTAATTTGATATCTTTCCTGATTAGATTTTTCTGGCTAAAACTGTCTGCTAAAAGATTGTGCCATTGTCCTGAAATAAATACTGATTCTCTGTTTTATTTTGTGTTTTGTTTTGGAATAAGAACCGGCTAGTCCAGGTCAAGATATTGATATGCCAATGGAGGTTGACAGCAATGAAATGAATAATGATGGTGGTAGGGGCTTGGATGATGTGGAAGAACCCTCTCCTCCAGAAGACAAAATATTTTTTATGGATCCAGCAGATCTTGATGGGGACAAAGATGAAGAGGCAGTCAAAACCATCAGGTTTGTGAAATCAAGGCATTACAAGGAGAGTACACACAGAATGTCCATGTCTCTGAATTAAGTTCCCATAGTAAAGGAATTTTTCTGTGCAATCCCAAATGAATCTTGCTGTTCACATTTTTGAATTAGCTTGCTTTTACAAGACATGATTTTCCAGTCTTGAGCAGAAGGGAAAAACTGGAAAATTAACAGAACTGATGAATGCAGAAGCATGTAAGCATGCCCTTTTCAGAAGTTGAGCCGCCTCTTGATAGTCAACCTGGAAATAATAAAATTAGTGAAGAATGGTTGGCTGTATAGAATAGTTGATGGAAAATGCTATGTTGACCTAGATTTATAGGACTACTTTATTCTCTTGACCTTAGGCCAAACTAATTCCAATCCTAATGCAAGTTAATTGATTAAAATGGAGTTACATAAGGAATCAATTTGGCACTTTTGTGTGTATTTGGAAGTTAATCTGAAAGAAACAACTTCATGTTAAATGTAATTTCTAAAGGGATACTTTGTATTTTTTCTTATGTATGTACCAGGGTGAATGATAACTTGTAACATTTTAAAAAAAGAGGCGAACCCATGTAGTTTATTAGATAAAGAACTAAATTTGGATTGATTCTTAGTCATGGACTCATGTAGCCTTAAGAATGGAATCTTTAATTTTCACTTCCATGCTGTAAAATGGAAATAATAAGCAGCAGTTTTCGCAGAGATATTATGAAAAGGAAAGGAACGATTATAAAGCACTTTGTTCAGCGAAAGTGCTATCTGTTTGCCTAAGATCAAATTCCCATTGGCCTGCTGTGTGCTGCTTCTCCATAATAGTGAGGATTTGGGCTGGAAAAAAAAGGGAATCAGAGTGCAAGGCCTTCATTGGCATCATCTTTCTTACCCTATGTCTCTTCTTTCCTCCCATGGATATCAGAGTGGAAGTGGTGGGAGCCCTTCTCCTAATGGATATCATGCAGGATAGGATCCTATCTTGCATGCAAAAGACAGAGGAACACAGGAAGATTGCTTTTATTTTAGGATAGGCTTTTCATTTTCCTTTGCTATTTTCTGGTGGGAAAGATGCTAAGTTGTTTATATTTTGGATTGGTGAGGAAACTTTTAGTAACTTAGTTGTGGTGGGGTTGTTACAAGCTTAAGATACACTCATCTTACTTCAGGATACATTTTTGTCTGCCATTGCATTATGTAGGGTCCTAGTACTGGAGCAAAAAGTGGCTTCTTAATGTTTCATCCATCAATCGGTCACTCAATCAATTGTGCTCACTTTTATCCCAGCCAGGTACATTAAACCATTTCCCCATTATTGCATACTTCATGTAGAAGCATGAAGATCTGAGGATCTTTGAGGTCATAAGAAATACAGATGGCCAAAGTGTGCAAGCACCCTAAGAGCACTCCTGCTCCTGCACAAAATGGTTGATGAATGTAGATGCAGCACAGGATCAAAAGGATGCTCCTAGGAATTCTTTCTGTGTTGCAGAGAATATTAGAGGACAACTCGGGCATTGCTAGTGCTTGCTATACAAGAGGTAACTGGTGCACCTTGGCATCTTCTGTCATGTTGCAAAGGACTTTGAGGGACGCACCTGAGACTTTGGAGTGTAGTCCCTCAGCATGGTAAAATGATTTTGCCTGATCCTGGAGAGGGTGATAGCAAAAGCTCCTCTGAACCAAATGCTCATAGCAGATGTGGCCTGCATCACGATGGCTGTATTCAGAAGATCGTTGTCAGGGTGGAATTTATGAGCAAGGAGATACTCTTTCCTCAAAACTTGCCCTGAATTTATAGTACCATTTTTGGATGTGATGGAATCTGTATGATTAGAATAGTGTATTTCTTTTTTCAACAGCCCATCGACAAGCAATAATATTCCATTAATGAGGGTTGTGCAGTCAGTCAAGCACACGAAGAGGAAGAGCAGTACAATGGTGAAGGAAGGCTGGATGGTGCATTACACTAGCAGAGACAACCTGGTCAGTCATTAAACTAAGTATTCTGCTTTAAAACCCTCAGAAAGGACAATAATTCAGCATGGTAGCTTTGTGAGAGCAGGCAGGGGTTTGTCACTGTCCGCTATGAAAGGAGAAAACATCCCTGGGTGCTTGTTGATGAGCTGTCTGCCAAAACGACCAACAGAACCCCTTGTGCTTGCTGGGCTCAGGAGCATAGCCATCACAGACCTGCTTCGAAATAGGATAGCAACATGCCTGTCAAATTAAGTAGGATATTTCAGCAAGTGCCAAGCAGTAAAATTGTTCCTCACCCCCTGCCCCCACCTCTCTAGTGTTCTGAGCTCTGGTCTTGTCCTGTATACTTTTTCTACTGCTGATAGCAGTGGTTTGAATGAAGGGTTGTGAGGCAGGAGGTTGGGAGAGAGGCTGTTTCACTTTCCTGGCACTACAGCCTGATCTAAGTTTCTCCAAGGCAAGGCTCCCAACTTAGCCTTCGAGGTGCAATCGGGCCAGAATTTTGTTTCCTTTGTCCACCCTTCTCCTGCCTGTTTTGATCCATATAGCAGTCTTCTATGCCATGTGGAGTCTTTGATTTGTTTATTCCATTTACATCCTGCCCAATAGCCTATGCTTTCTGGGTGTTTCACAACAATTAAAAGCATAAAAATAACCTACAACACACTATAAAAGTTTATACTGTGGTATAAAATAGAAATAAGCCAGAGTAAAATCTAGCAGCAGTATAATGATTTAAAATAAAGGATTTGAAACAGATCGAAACTAGAATTTCTGGGAAAATAAAAATATCCTTACCTGGTGCTAGAAAGGGTTCATGGTATATGCCAGTAGAACCTCTCTGGGAAGATCATTCCCAGTTGGGCTGCCACAGTAGAGAAGGCCCTTATCTTAGTAGCTACCCACATGACTTTGGCAGGAACTTCTGCACAAGAATTGCTGTGGTTGATCTTAGAGTCTGATCAGTTCATATGGAAGGAGATGATCCTTCAGGTAACCTTGCCTGTTAACAGTTAACACAAGCCCTTTGCCAAAATATTGGAAATGCAGTATCTACTGCAGTACCTACTGCCGCTGATATAGGATATGAGGTCAGGTTAGTTTCTTGTGTAAAAAGGGACACAACATGTGCTGGGAAACTGATCCTGATCAGGATTGGGCATTATCTAAAAGTATGCAGTATTTATAAGTATAATTGATAGACTTACCTTAAAGGTATAAGCTCAAGTAGAAGTAAATGCTGTTGAAACTTCCAGGGCCAATTCAAATAGAAGGTTCTAGCTACATCTTAATGAGAAATCTTTCTGTATTCATTGTAGAGAAAAAGACATTACTGGAGACTGGATAGCAAATGTCTTACGCTATTTCAGAATGAATCTGGGACAAAGTATTACAAGGTAAATAATGTTGCAAATCCAATCCCTTATTAATACAGTTATTAATGTATTAATATTATGTATTAATATGTATTAATATATGTATTAAAATTCCACCTTTCTACTGTTACTTCATCTCAGGCTGGCTCCCGTCATTTCCTGCTTTTTCATCTGATTATTTTTTAATTTAGTTGAAACTAGGATATATGTTTACAATCATTAGCATTTTGATGAAGTTCCACTGTGTCTCCAGTGTACAGTTTTTCTATTTGCTTATTTGTGCACTACAGAACACAGCTATATTTAGATATTTTGTGCCCTTTGATACCAGAATTGGGAAAAATAGAAGTAAAGACTTGTGTTTGTGTGTGTACATATATGTGATTGTGTGCATGCAAAAAAATTAGTCCTGGCTCATGCCATAGCTCAAAAGAGAGCATTTGGAAGGCTATAAAAATGAAAATATGGCATCCACACCTGTTTGCAGAGGACCTGTGGAGCAGTTCTCATTGGATACAGCACAGTGATTCCAAAAAAATAGGTCAGGTCATTAGCATTCTAGCAGTGATGCTGAGGAAAAGGATGGATGCAGCAGACACCTGTAATGTTTCGGTGCAGAACTTTAATTCGGCCGCAGGCCTAAATATCATTTTGGAGATGCTCCCAGGGACTGAAAAGGGGTCATAGCCAAAAATGCCAGCATATTTTAGTTTAAAGCTCTTATATCCAGTAACTAAGCCTTAGAAGAGATATTTCAACCTTTTAGAATGGGGAAAACTGCACAAAACCTGGAAAACCACCAAACAATTGGCGGTCAAGGAAAATGAATGGAGCATGCTATTTGGGGGACCCCAAAAGTTCAGATTGGGAGCCTAGGAGGGCAGATTGAGCCCCTGAGATTCTGTACCCCAACATAACTCAAGGTGGGTAATCTTTTCGGGGCTGAAGCTATATTCCATCATGGGAAGGTGACTGAGAGTCACATAATGGCAGTGGATGGAACCAAAAACAAAAGTGAGTGGGTATGCTCTTTTCTTTCTTTCCTCTTTCCCCTTGTTCTCTCTCCATTCATGATTATCTTTCATGTTTTCATGTTCTCTTTCACATGTGTCCAAGCATCTTCTCTCTTCCTCCTTCATTCATCCCTTCATTTTCTTGCATATGCTGTTCCACACATTCAAAAGTTCTCACTGTAGTTACTCTGCTCCTGTGAGCCAGCCATTCTGTCTACTTCTTACATCTTTTTGGAACTTTCTCAGCTGCAGGAATACAAGAAAGAATCCAGCAGGCTGACTGTAGAGCATGCCAGAGTGCATGATCTTCTTGGTGCTGTCTGTAGCCAGCCTTCTGGGTGTTGCTGTCAGAGTTACCTGCCAGATGATGCAGTGGCCTCCACATTTGGGGACCGGACTGCCTGGCTGAATGGCTCATTATGGGCCCCAAAGAGCCAACTGGCAACATTGGTGACTGTTGGGAGGATGCTAGCTTCAGCTGCAACTCTGGCATGGCAAAATCAGTGGTGGTAACTTGGACAGTGCGTAAGGCATCTGATGAGCACATGAGAGAACCTTGTGGGCAGCATGTAGTCCGTAGTTTGGCCCAATGTCTCATAATCTGAGGGGGAAACCCCAGCTGAATCCTGAGCAAAACTTCATTGGTTGATCTTTTTTACTGAAATATTTATGGAACGCTTTGGGGCAGAAAAGAGGGACTGGAACCAGCACCACTCAATGCAAGCCACACCTTCCTAGTTGAGTGCCATACTACTGAAATTTTCTCATAGCTGTGACTCAGACTCACACAAGTTGTTGTTGTTGCACACCCTTCCTTTTTTGTGTTTAACACTTTTCTATTTCCTTTAGGAGATTCCACTTTCTGAAATTCTTCAGGTGACTCAGCCACGGGATTTCTCTAACATGGTGCAGGGCAGCAACCCTCACTGCTTTGAAATAATAACTGACACAATGGTGTACTTTGTTGGTGAGAACAATGGCAGCAGCCACCACAACCCTGTTTTAGCTGCCACTGGCGTTGGACTGGATGTCGCACAGAGCTGGGAGAAAGCTATTCGTCAGGCTTTGATGCCAGTCACACCTCAGGCTAGCATTTGCACTGCTGCAGGCCAAGGGAAAGACCACAGTAAGAGCAGAAGAACACTTACTTCTTCTTCATCATGAACTGCTAAGAAATTGGCCCTGGTTTAGCAAAGTTCTGTATTCTGTGTAATGGCTGACAGTGTTAGTGGGGAGCATGAGTGATCACATCATCTTCATTATTGATATTAGTCCAGTTCTAGCATTTCTTTTGACTTACAGTATGAATAGTAAATTCTTTGTTGAACTTTTCTGTCACCCTTTCTATTAGCTTAATATTTGGCTTCTTCCATTTAATAGTAAATTACGTTTTTGAAAACTCAGATCTCCCTCACCTAAAAAAGTTGCTTGGTGCTTAAACATTTGGTATCTGGGGAATTATCCTTCCTGCCACTCCAAATGGGTACTTGATACTTGTTGCAAGGATCTTATGTGAGATAGAGCTTTCTTCAGTAGTATTTTACATGTATCCTACTCAGAGCCATGATTGTTTAACCTTGCAGTAATTGATATGGCTGATTCTGTGTTAAACTCCCAAGTGCTTTACATGTGGCTTTAGTATGTTAGTGTGGCCATCAGGGACCTTGAGTTCATGGTGTGTCAGTTCTACATACATAGCCACTAAAGCTTAATTTACATGGGAAACTGGATAGTGCGCCATTCATAGTTAGTATCCTTCTTCTTCCTGTTTATTTATATGGTGCCTTTTCAATTGATACTCAAAGCAGTTTATGAAGAGAGTAAACAAATGGATATATTGACAAAACTACAATAATATATTTATCAAATGCATTTCATGATATATCCAGATTATAGAGATTATAGAGTTAAGAGACATTAGAAGTCAAAAAAATCCCTAAATATATGAAAACCCATTTCTTTCAGAAGTAAGCTGTCACAAAATTGGGCTCATTTTTTAAATACATCTTTTGCTAACTAACCCTAATCACTAGGATATTAGTGGTAAATACATCAATATCCAGACATGACAATATAAACCATATAAATATTTCAAGTCTATCAAAGTATCAACATTATAGTACAATAGTCCTTTCAGTGCCATGGTCAGAGGAGGCCTTGTTATGCTAGCATTGTCTCTTCAAACCATGTCTTTCAATGCTCTCTCTTTATATCTGTTACAGCTTTTGGCTAAACCTGTGAAGTAATCAAGTGTTTGGATTAGGAGTGGGCAATAATTTGGAGTCTACAAGCACTTCTTATTTGAAATCTGTCAGCAGATACCACAAAACATTGTCAGGTGGATTTGGTCACTGGGTAGTCTCCTCGCCTCCTCCTCTTCTATTCCTTTGTCTTGCTCACAGTTTCTGCCTTCTTTCTGATAGGCAGTGTGCAGGGATAGGAGAGGAAAGGAACCTGTAAAATAAGGCCGGTGTGGTGGAAACACAAACTGGGCTTCTTTCTGTGGAGGAAATGGGGGAACTGTAGGTTTAGTCCTGATATTAAAACCAGCTCCTTGGACAGTGTGGCCCTGAACTAGGGTAGATGAATAGAGAAGATGACCAGGACAGAGAATGTGGAGAAAATCATGTATGAAAAACTGCTAGAAAAGTGAAAATCTACAAGAATTGGATGTTGGTTGACAAGGAGAGGGTCTTTGATCAAACATTAATAAAGGAAGCAGTGGCAGAGCTTAACTTCCAAAAGAGTAGTGTTGGAGCTGCAAGACCAATATGGTAGTCTGGAACTGATAAGAGATTGCTGGGTTGAGCCTTTGGCACAGATGCTAGGCACAGTATTTTCTGTGGTTTGGGCTGTGCTTGTGTTTGCTGCATTTTGTACGTCACAAATGGGCATACGCAAGCCTTTTAGTTCTTGAGGAGCACAGACTGAAGGAGAGCATGTAGTTGGAGAACAAGGGGGACATGTGCAATAAGTTTACTACAGAGCTGAAGAAAAATATTCTATACTGCCTAAGGAAGTGAGGAGTCTGGTGCTGTTGGCATTGGAGCTAGGGAACCTTGCAGTTTGTGGGTTGCGTGGCTCAAACAAGCAGCTAAAGACACGAAGAGGGAGCTAGGGCTAAATTTCAAATGCCACTTGTCTGCTAAATGTTGCTTGTAGCTCATTGGTTTTTTACTGTCATATTGCCTCCACATTTAAAACACATATGCTTTTTCATTGCAGAAGAATTGTCTGTCAGCATTTCGGTTTCAAATTGCCAGATCCAAGAAAATGTGGTAAGTCACAAAGTGTAATACTCTTGTACATAGACAGTTATCTATCATCCTCTGATGGTCATTTTGTATCAAAATAATAAAAAATGAAAGTCATAATGGGACAGTTTGCATGACAGTGGCTTGTAAATGAATTGTATAGTATGGGTTGTCTGTGGAATAACCCATGGTGTGCCCAGCAGATGATTGGGCTTACTGTGGGTTGTTCTTCCCATCTTCCCCAGCCCATCTTAGTAACCCAGGGTCCTGCACTGTAGCTCCATTTTATTTCTTCTGCTCTGATCCAGTCATGACATCATTTCGCTCATGTTTTTCCCTGCCTGGAGCTCGATGACACTATCAGTAACAGTGTTTCACTGATGCCCAAATAGCATTTTAGAACCATCACTGGCTCTTTACACTATTGGGGTATGTGCATATGTGTGACACAAATGCGTGCAGTTTGGTTTGCCTTTAAAAAAACTGCACCCTACAAGGAAACTAATTAATGGAAGCTTGCTTCATCAATTCCCTGGTCAGTGTCTGCTGTCAAAATGCAGTAGGCGCCATCCATGGCCATTGAGCAAGCAGGGCTGCATGTGTCTTGCTTTGTGCATACTTGAGAGCTGTTAGTTAGTGAACTGTCAGTTGAAAAGCAAAGACGTGAAGAGTTTTTTTCCCATCAAACGGGGGTCATGAGTATATCACTTTTTAGATTTGTTGTTGTTGTTGTTGCCCTGAATATTCTCAGACCCCCTCCAACATTTTCACAGTTTCCCCATGCTGCCTAGAAGACTGGGGTTTTCCTCAGGCAGGATGTAGCTGGAGACACATTTTTGGAATACACATTGCCATGGAGTGAAAACCATGCCATTTTTATGTAATCTCTCCTTCTTCCCCTTCTTGCCAAGCATGTCACTATCTATGGTAAATAGTAGTAGCAGTAGTTAACAATTGCTGTAGGTGGAAACAGACAGAACCTACCTTAAAAGGATTGTCACAATCTTTTTCCTCCATCCTTTTAGTGTGCATGTAGTGTAGTTTTTGATTTCTTAGTGTCTAACCTCAGTTATCATCCAGATCTGAAATTCTCAAGTGGTTTAATGCTTACTTTCTGCTGCCTACACCTTTCCCTTCTACAGGATATCAGTTCGGTATATCAGATCTTTGCTGATGAAGTGCTTGGTTCTGGTCAGTTTGGAATTGTGTATGGAGGTAAGCTTGAATAAACATTATTGCAATTGCAGACTTGTGAAGAGACTTGTGGCTTTTGTGTATTTTTCCTCTGAAAAATTGAGATAAAAAACAAACATGGGTATTTACTATAAAAACATAAGTGATTACAGAAATAATGAGAGAGGCCAAACAATGAGGGACATTGAGAGCAATAATGGAGGTTGTAGCTTAGCAGTATAGCATATGTTTTGCATGCCGAAGGGCCCAGATTCAACCTCTTGCATCTCTAGGTAAGGCTGGAAAGCTATGTGCCTGAAACCCAAGAGAGCTGCTGCCAGTTTGTGTAGCCATCTTTAATAACTAGATGGAGCAACTTTCTAAACATGTGATTTCACTGTCTAACTTGCCTGGTTTGCTTTTTTGCAATTCCATGTTCAAAATCATCTTGGCAGCTACCAGGGTTAGAAAGAGTTCTCACAGTTCTAACAGACTGGCTGTGTTCATACGGTACAGCAAACAGCCCTGTACTGTTTCTACAGCATGCAGATTTTTGCCCAGACTTAACAATCATGTGGTTACCCAGGCAGTATGGTTTCCCAGCTCCCCACTCCATCCTCCCAGCTTCACCACGCATCCCAGCAGCCCCCATGAACAAAATACTTGCCCTTTCCCTATTTTTGCCTTGGACCACAGTGGCATCTTCCTGACTGGTCCACCATGGTCCTGAAGAGAGTTTCCCCCTTCCCTCTCCTATGTATACCTACATCTCTGCCATGCTCCCTAAACACTGCAGTCCCTCAAGAAATGTTTGTTAAATCATAATAAACACTTTTACCATGATTTTCCTTTTCTCCCTCTGTTCATTTAGCCACTTTCTCCCTCTTTCTGAATGTAAACAGGAATACAAGCACATTGCTTGGCTAGTGGGAATAAAGCAAGCAATTTGTTGCTTGGGGGCTGAGGGCAGTAGCAATTGAAGGATGGAAGTGGCCACTTTTGCATCTGCTCTTGCCAAGAGAATCTGCCGTGTTTCCATACCAACAATGGTAAAATGGCAATGCTGGATCCAGGCAACTGGAGAGGTCATAGCAAAGCATGGAAGCCTTAGAACAAGTAATTTTTTTTCCTCCCTGCTTTCAGAAACTAATCCTACCATGCACAAACTCTGAAACTGGGTCCAGATGATACAAGAGACCCACAGGGATAAGATTTTGCCATGGCTGCTTGTGCTGTGTGTACCTGCCCACTGATTCCTCAGCAGCACAGCTTGGACAATCTTGCTTCCTTCTAGTTTAAGCTACAACAGCTGCTATCTGTCTTAGTCTTTTACCAAGTTTTAACAAATTTCCTTCCAATTTAAGTTGCCTCTCCTGCTGCCTTGTGGAATGTCAGCTGTGCACCTGATAAGTTGTCTTTTACTTCGGTGAACATTAAACATAAATGTTTGTACATATTATTTGTATTTAAACTTTTAAGGCAAGTGTTCTTTCTGCTTGCAACTTTCTTCTAGACCAGTTACTGTCCCCTGACTAACAGAGCCACCAGTACTGAATAAGGCGCTCCAGGTGAGGTCTAGCTTGGCCTCTAGTAGTGCAGTGTTCTTGTAGTATTTTCTATATCCCTGTATGTATATTTTGTGCACACCTCAAATAGACTGGTCAGCTGTTTGTTTAAACAGGTGTTTCTTCTGTTCTTAGATTCCCATTTCTGTTTAATGACTGTATTAGCATATTGGAGTTGAATAGCAAGGTTCTTGTATGCTTATTCCACAATCTGTTTTACTAAGGATTATTGTGCCAACAACTAGAATTGTGCTGTAAGGAGAAGCTGGATGCTCCAAATCTTAACTTTTTAAATAACTCACTGGGTATCTATGGACAGACAGTATTCTCTTGGCCAACGTTTCTAATCTGTAGTAGTAGAATAAAAGTTATTTTATTTTCCAGGTGACTGGCTAAAAATTTGAGTGGAATCAAGCCTCTTTGCACATTGAATCTGTTACTGAAATTAGTTATGTTCTATAGAATTTCACACGGAGCAACATCTGAAATTCTCTTCCCTATTGAATTGTTAAGTACATTTGAAGGGAATCAGGTTGCCCTTAACTACAGTCTATGATTATACCTGTTATATTTTGTTGATAGAGCAACTTTCATATTTTTATTAATTTTTATATACTGATTTGGGCAAAGCAATTTAAAAATGCCAACACAATAAAAATAAGGGCATTACAATAACAAGCATTTTAAGAACCATAGAATTTGAAAGGCTAATTACAGTGATGACTTCACATCCTTTCTAAAAATCAAGAGAGGAGGCATTCTTGAGGGAATGGATCATACTGTTTGGAAGTGAAACAGTAGAAAACCCTTCCATGAATGCCCAACAAAATAGCTTTTAAACACTCTTCACAGGTAACTGCATGCAGAGTGCATTGCAATAGTCTAAACATAATGTGACTAAGACTTGCCAGGTATTGGTGAAGTGGCATACCAGCTTACCTTCTAGTAATTCTTTTCTGTTTATGGACTGAAAAAGGCTTCCCCACCTCTCCTTCTCAACTTGGACCTGTAAGGCTTGTGATCTTATGGTGAGTCTTCAGATGAACAAATCAGGAGGTATATGTGGTGTGAACTTTAGTACAGAGCTGATCTCTTTTGGGATTGTGAGTAGGAATAAGCTGCTCCACCGCACCCATGTCTTCTCCTGACATTCATGCACTGGACAGCAAATTTGCATTTAATGGCTGTAGGCTGTTGTATGTCATGATTTTGTAGTGCACAGGCCATAGGGATAGACAGCATGCAGATGTCAGGTGGGGTAAGAGCAAATGAATATGATCCAAGTCTGCTATCATGTGAACAGTTTAAATATTTGTACAGGACCAGTATTTTTTTCAGCTTTCAGTGTTAATTATGACATGTTATTTCCAATTCCTTCCTCTCTGTGAGAAAGGCTACCTTTAAATTCTCTCATTTTCAATAGGTTGCAGACACTTAATGTTTTCTCTTTTCATTTTTTCTGTCTGTTTTGCATGTGTAGGAAAGCATAGGAAGACTGGAAGGGATGTGGCGATTAAAGTCATTGATAAGATGAGATTCCCTACAAAACAGGAAAGTCAACTGCGCAATGAAGTAGCCATTTTGCAGGTACAAAGATTATTTGAATCTGTTTCTTATATCAAATAAATTGATTTATTCTTGCCACCTTGTAGGTTGGCCGAACAGTTCGAGGCTCAAATTCTACATAGTGACTATTTGAAAGAAGGCTATGTTATCATAGTCTGGAATACATAGTGTCTATTTGATCATTACTCATATGGGTAGGAACAAATTCTTGGTACCTGTTTTTACATTTGTATTTTCAATACTCCTGTTAAGTAACCTCTTGTACTGCACAGAAAATCCATAAAAGAACTACTGTGTATATAGTGTATCTATAAATATTGCTAGGGATTACACCACCACCACCACCATTTCTGTATTGCCCATAGCTGAAGCTCTCAAGTGCTTTTAGAACAATAAAGCATGCGTACTATCTTGACAAAACTGTTTCTTTGTGAAATAAATGTTCCTTGACTTGTACTACATATGTTGTTCATGTCAGTATTAAATATTTTCCTAGAATTTGCACCATCCTGGGATTGTAAACCTGGAATGTATGTTTGAAACTCCAGAAAGAGTTTTTGTTGTGATGGAAAAACTTCATGGTGATATGTTGGAAATGATTCTCTCCAGTGAAAAAAGCCGGCTTCCAGAAAGAATTACCAAGTTCATGGTCACCCAGGTGGGTCTGCTGTTTGTAATGGCTGGTGTATTCTTATTCTCTGCCACCTTCTGTTTATATGAAAGAAGCATTTAATATAATGAAGGGCATTCTTTGCCTTAGCCGAGTTTAATCATGTGTGTTTTTCCAAAGGCATTTGACCTGATTTGAGCAGGGTATATATACTGCACTTTTGAATTGTTTCCAAAAGATATGTGTAAATCATAATGTGCTAAGAATCTCAGACACAACAATGCTTCTGCTGCACTTCAGAATGGTTGATGTAAATAAGTTTTCACCAACAGACTCATCTATAGGAAAAATACGTGTGCCATAAGAGAGAGATATAAGCCTTGATTGCTTAATTGCATATTCTTTGGGGATGGCAAGAGATTGAGATTTCTCTTTATTACAGCTGCAAAACATCTCCCACAAATAACTGGTTGAATACTGAACTCAGCCTCTTGTAAAATTTGGTTAGTGTTCCCTGCCCCCATTCTCATCCCTACCCCCTGCTGTTCATTCTTTAAAGAGAGAAGGGGCAGAACTTTGGAAACACTTCTAAAGATCTTGCACTTGGTTTTAGGCAAACCTGGACTACATTATAATTCCATTCACTTTTTTGGTCTGATCCTTTATTACTTACAGGAATCTGAAAAAAGCTTGTTTCTTTTTTGTTAATAGATACTTGTTGCTTTGAGGAATTTACACTTTAAGAATATAGTGCACTGTGATTTAAAACCTGAAAATGTACTCTTAGCATCAGCAGAGCCTTTTCCTCAGGTGGGTAAAGAATGAATAGTAATTTTGATGGCTGTACATTTTGTTAGAGATTTTGGAGAAGCTGTTACTGAAACCTGTATTCTTGTATATTTAGTAACATTTTAAACTTTTTAGAATTTCCAATATTTGTCAGCATCTCAATAAACTGTTAGCATGAATCATTTCTTATGGTTAACCTGGATGTAACTGTAGCATTTAAGATGTCTGAAGCTGTGGTTTAGTGTTATGAGAATGAGTTAGTCTCCCCCATAGCTTATATATACTTTCCTCTTTTCCTTTGCTGTTGCCATGAAGAGGAGACTGGAAGCTTTCCCTTTTATCTTTGATTACTCATAGTTTACTGTGCTATCCAAACTGTAAACTGAGATTGATATTAATCACAGTTACTGGAAACAAACCAGCTTCACACACACCAGCTTCAAATTTGATTTGTTTTCACTTTCCATGGTTAAGATCGGAGTTTGGCTGTATTTGAATGAAATGGCACACTCTGTGTGAGGCTAGCCTTGTTTTCTTAATGCTATGCTATGGTTCAGCGTTATGTTTGAACCAGCCCAGTGTCACATCAAACCATTTGGTATTGATAAGTAGTGTAGACTGTATTGTGCTGTTTTTCTAGTGAGCATTTCTTGTAAAATAGTTCTACAACTCCCTACACCTACTTAAACTTAAAAGCTATCACAGCTATGCATCTTTTAGACATTGGAATTTGTATGTTGAGTGCATAATAATGTAACCAGAGATTGTTTGTTCTACAGGTGAAGCTGTGTGATTTTGGTTTTGCACGCATTATTGGTGAGAAGTCTTTCAGGAGGTCTGTGGTGGGAACCCCAGCTTATCTTGCCCCAGAGGTGCTTAGGAGTAAGGGCTACAATAGATCTTTGGATATGTGGTCAGTGGGAGTCATCATCTATGTGAGCCTCAGTGGTACATTTCCATTTAATGAAGATGAAGACATAAATGACCAGATCCAAAATGCAGCATTTATGTATCCACCAAATCCCTGGAAGGAAATATCTAGTGAAGGTAAGCTCCATAAGGAGACTTGGGATTCAAGTCTTGGTCTGTTTTATTTTCTGGAGAATAACATTTTAGTATCTTAGAAAATAAGCCATAGCATTTAAGATCTAAGGGACCTGGGAACAATAAAGTGAGTTAGCAGGAGAAAGTGTTGTTATTAGGGTGTATCCTAAGTTGGCTGTGTGTTAGTGGGATTTATCTCTAGTTTGATGGAAAGTTAGTGGATCCTGAAACAAAGAACAGATCAGCAGAACCCATCCAAGGGAGTTCTGTGATCTGCTCTAATCTGGAAATGAGTATTGCTGTTTGTTTCTGGGGTTGGTTCGTTCCACTAGCTTCTAGTTTTGCTAGCACTTTCCTTCACTGATGTAAGACCTTCTGTGGGAATGCCGTGGGAGTATCAGAATACTATCCACTGGGAATCCATGTAATTGAGCAAGTGGAGGATGCCTTCTACTTCAAGAATAGTGGCCTCATTTGGCGGCTGGTATGCTCTAGGGACTGTGATAGTATGAGATGATATATTCAGGGTTTTCCCAACTGTAGGTGGGAGAGACCCAAGGTACTGGTGAAGATCCAGTTGCCGTCATCAGCCCTGAATCCGCTGAGAAAGATCTCTTAGTTGCAGTATTTTCACTTGGTGCAATGCACCTAACATGCTTCTTAATACACAACCCTTTCCAAATTGTTTTTGTTTGCTCTAGAGTTACAGTGTACTTGGTACTGCATGTAGCCTGACCTTCCCCAGAAGGGGAACATTGCTTGTGTTTCAAGTATGTTTATGTAATGTTTTAGCTATCACTGGTGGTGTATATGAATTGTCAATTTGGAATTCATTATTTAGGCCAACTGTCTATATCTTGCATCAAATATAGACTTCCAGGCATAGTAAACTGGTCTTGAAGGGAATAACTAAAAAACAGTTGGAATGGTAAGTATCAGCTTGTATGGAAAGCATCTGAACTTAGGAAACAGCCTGTTCCTACACATTTAGTCATGCAATTCAACTTCATTAAGACCAGTCTTGCTGTTGATATCAGAGTAGGATAGTTTGCACACTTACTGTCTGTCGACGCATTTTTGAGTGTTCTTTTGTCTCTTGAATACTTTGTTTCCTAAGTCACTCTTCTAGACCTAAAACTATTGTTTTCTGTTAGAAGTATTATTGTGGGTGAAAGAAAAAATAAAATATTTATTCTGGTTACTTTTTCTCTTTCTTCCTTTTCCAGCTATTGATTTAATAAACAATTTGCTTCAAGTGAAGATGAGAAAACGTTACAGTGTTGACAAATCACTTAGTCACCCTTGGTTACAGGTACATTTAATGCACACCAGTTTTGCTGTGTTATGTTAGCAATCCAATTAGGTGAATCATAATCTGACTGAAATAGTTAAGAACACTTTTACACTTGAGACCTTGGAAGCTTTTTATACAGTGTTTCTCTTTGAATCAGTTAGAGGAATACTCTAAAGAGCATTACAATTTCAGTTGGGTGAGCCAATGCACTGGATCATTTAAGATGCTATGGTATACATGTCTGTATGCTACTGCTTGCTGAGACACTTGGGATAGAATGGTTAAAACCTGAAACTACCTCTACCTACCTTTTCTCTATGTATTTGTTGCTCTGACAAATCTCCTGAATCTGTTCTGCTAAACATGTGGGATACTCTCTAGCTCATTCCATATAGCTTAGAGCTCTGTGTCTACCATGCTACGTTCTACGAGGGGCTGTTGTACTATGCCTTACACTCTGGTTAGTGACTTAGAGGTCTCCCATCTCTATTGTGAATAGCTTAATTATGGACACAGCACTTGTAAAAGAGCTTCAGTGATCTGGATGGAGGTTTTTTTTTTAACCCCTTCCCTATTTTTACACTGTGCACACCCTTCAGATCATTCTTGTTCTCTTGGTTTTGGAACTCAGCTGAAAAGGGGGCAAAAAATACCAGGGTAAAACTGTGAGGGGAAGGGCTGAATTTGCAGAAGAGACCCAAGTGCCTTCATTAGTGTTACAAGGAAAACATGGGATTTTGAAACCTCTTGACAATTTCTTCATCCTTTTGGACTCAGCTTGTCTCAGAATGAAGAGCTAATTGTATTGTCACAAATAGAGGAAACAAAGAAAATGAATATTTTGTGATATCAGAAGGTGATACACATGATGAAGCATTTCTGTAACATAAAAATGACTATAACATATTGCTCCCTTTTCAGTGAGTCACAGCAGGTGGGAAATTTGTACGTACTTCCCTCTAAGGTTGGCCCTAAGAATATGAAGACAGTAGGCATTATAGCCTGGATGATCCTTTAATGTAATCTTTGTATACAAGTAAGCTATTACACTGGTGCATGCAGATTACTCAGAAGCAGTAGCAGGATCAGGGGTGGGATGGGGGACAGGATTCTCATCCTCAACTTAGTCCTGTAAGGCAACATAGGATGTTGTTATAGGCAAATTACTGCTCCCTTAAACTTATTTCCTTCAGTATTTTTTTCTCTAGAAACTATTCAACTAAACTTTTCCTCTTTTAGGATTATCAAACTTGGCTTGACCTTCGAGAGTTTGAAACTCGCATTGGAGAGCGTTACATTACCCATGAGAGTGATGATGCTCGCTGGGAAGAACATGCAGATGAACATAACCTTGTATACCCGAAACATTTCATTATGGCACCCAATCCAGATGATATGGAAGAAGACCCATAATCATTTGCGAGGGAAAGGCACTTAAATTAAAGCAATACCAATATTTTGTTGAAGTGCGTGTTGCTCTCTGCTCTTCAGGTGATTCAGTGTACAAAGCAATGAAGGATCCTGCATCAGTTTGTGGATGAACTAGATGATCTGGAAAGTATCTCCACCTCTAGTTTCTATGACGATGAATGTGATCCGGCACTGGGTTAAAAGCCATGAAGTATTTGTGTAACATTGCCTTACTGGTACATCACAGTGATGTTACTGACAGATGAAGTGCACAGAGACTTGATGTTTGTGAATTTTCCAAGTATTTTGTGATTTATACAATAACAAAACAATTTTAATGGTTTTCTAGTTCCTATCTATTAAGCCATAGAATACTATTTTCTGGTATTTAGATCTATTAGGAAGCTGTAAAGAAACCTCAACTATATAACATGACCAAATAATACAAAATGCTTGATTTTTAAAATCCATACAAAATGCTGGTAGAGTATTTATTTGCTAAAACAATAACCATGAAAGAAGCCCATAATGTTGATTGGGATGGTTCAAGATTTGACTGTTAGGCTCCTCAGCTTAATTACAGCAGTCTCTTGATATATGGAAATCTTTACTAGTAAAAGTATTTCAGATTCCTGTTGAATATAGACATGCTGTTTTAGCCCTTTCAGTTGTATTAGAACAATAGACATATGCTGGGTTATTACTGTGTGGCAGATGTTAGTGTGACTTTTGTGTCTATAAAGGGCTTTGTATCTTTCGTCTGAGGGCCAGGACCCAAAGATGTGATCTGCATGTTATCAGAAGGGAATGCTTCACTTGTCACACCAATTCCTTTGGCTAAATGCAAGTTGTTTAGTTTGAAACACAACAGCTTGTGTCTTCTGCAGTGGGAACTGCTGTGCCAAACACAGTAAGTTGAAGCTCCAGCTACACATAAATCTTTCTTGCATGCAGATATCACATCTTTGTCCAGCCAAGTAGTGTAGAGTGCATGTGTAAGATCTGGGTAGTTTAACCTTCCATGGTGAAAGTCTATTTGTAGTGGGAAGTTTAAAGTAGTAGTTTATAATGAATACCCCTGTGAAGAAATGCTTCTGTTTGTTCACTTTTGGTTTGGGGGATTGACCTGTTTACAAGCAGTCTGACATAAAAGAAGCTTTCAGTTTTAAAAGAATATGGTTAGGGATTAATCTTTATTTAATTTTCAGTTAATTCAAGTAACTTTAGAGGAGGCCATAGTGCAATATCCCATAATGTCTCTAGTCTCACAGAAGGAGAGGCAGTCATTTTATCTTGCCATGTGACTTTCTAGGTTTGGAGTGTGGAGAGGGGTTTCTTTTCTTCCCTTTTGCTTCTTTTAAACCATGGTCTCTCAAACTACAGCCCACGGGCCAGATCCAGCCCTCCATGCCCGTTTTACCGGCCTGCCCCAGAGGTTTTGCACTTGCTCGCGCAGAGATCGTTTTGGACTCGGAGAAAATGATCTCCGCACAAGCAAGCCACTGCTTTGCCCTGCGCGCCCTTCCATTTGCCGCGTGCGCGCCCCCACCCCCCCTTGCTGCGTGTGCATGTCCCGCCCCTGCCCCTCACTGGCCCGTGTCCCCCCCCCCCGCCGCCGGCACCTTTCAACTGGCCCCTTGTTGAAAAAGTTTGAGGACCCGTTTTAAACCTTGGATATCAGCATAATTACTAGCAGCACTTCTCTTTATTGACTACCGGTGATTACAGGGTGGGGGCTGTGGCATGAACTTTGCCTCATGCTTAGTGGTTTTGCAGGACCTGACAAATCCTGCTCATAAACTAGGAAGGGGCAATTGGATATAATGCCTTTCTATGGGCCACTTCCCACCCTTTCATTGTTGGTGGATCTAGAGAGCAAATGCACTCCTGCATACATTCTGAGGCTCTTTGGCAGGCGGAATTCTTGTACCCATCTTGAGGGATGCTGTAGACAGCAGGTTGCCACTATGTGAATGGAATGCTGGGCTGGATGGCCCAGTGGTCTGATCTAGCAGGGCTTTTCTTATGTTCTAATTTAGTTGCATTGAAAGAGAAGTTAGGAGAAAGGAAAGGATGAGAAGAGAGGCTGCCTCTGCTGCTCACTCTCTCACAGATCCATCTGAATGGCACTCATCTGAATGGGACTCATCCATCTGAATGGGACTTGATACAGTTCCCTGCCCCTTCTTTCCTGCCAGTGGATCTGCTTGTCAGAGCCTTTTGTGTAATGCACACAAGTCTTAATTGCAGATAAGGAGATGCAAATTGGCAATCACTCTTTAGTCTAATGGATAGAAACAGTTCTACTTTATTTTATGGATTAAATGGAATTAACATGACCAATTACAGAATTTAACAAGGAATCAACAAAAACACATAAAGGGCCCAAGTCATTGCTTATTCTGTGACTAGAGTGTAAGTTACTTGTCACCAGCTGCATTAGCAGTCCTTCAATGGGACTTTTCAGCCTGTTTGTTCTGTCATGTTGCTTCTGCTTTTCTTCTTCCTTTCTGTTGTCTGTTTACACTCCTCCTCTTTCAGGTCTGCCATTAGCATCTTCACTGCCAGCAGCATCTGTGTCACCAACTAACATATTCAGTACTTTGCTCTTTCCCTACATGTTATACTCTCTCCCCACTTGTCCTGGCTTCTATATTGTCACAAGACAGAAGGCATTACACTTACAAGCATTTGTGAGTTACAACTATGTAAAGAGGAGGGCAAGAACTAAGCAGAACAAGGATTGGCTATCTTGAAGACAGCACATCTTTTCTTCAGCAAGGAATGTTCTTGTGCATACGTAGCCTCAGTTGGATTAGACCAACGGATGCTTTGGACTAGAGAAATTATTGATCATTTCTGTAGTCCAAATTTCTAACCAGACACCTTGTGAGAAGTAATAGAACTAGCAATTCCCTTCAGGGGCAAAGCTCTAGACAAATAAAGCTTCAACTGTACAGTTAAATCATAATGGATTGTAGAAGAGGATGCATAAATTAAACCAAGATATTCTTGAGTGGTGCATAATGTGCTATGACACTTGTCCTATGAAATGCAGAGTCACATATCCAAAAGCATTTATCTAGCTTATCCTGACCTCTGGAGATGAGAAGGTTAATATGCATACTGAGTTCAGAGGTATTTTGTGCTCATAAGCAGCCTCTATGTGGGTGAATTATGTTAATAAGCGTGGATGTAACTTACTGTGTCTGAATATATTCACATATTATCACCACTTTGCTATGGTCTACAGTCAGATCCTATAAAAGTCTTGTAGAAATAAGCTCATTGAGTTCAGTGGAGCTTACTTCCAGGTATGTATATATAGGACTGGAGTCCGAGAATGTTAAGGGACAATTGAAAACTTCTTCAAATGTCAGTGAAATTAAATTTGGCTCAGTATATTTTCCACATTAAAGTACAACAGTTTGTAATGGATTATTGGAAAACAAATTCTCTTAGGAAGTTCCTATTTCCAGATGAATGTGGTCTGTAATTCAAAGGAGTTTATGAATCAGCATAAACAAATGGAGCTTTCTCTGAATTTTTCACTGAACTGCTTTTCCAGCAGAAGAGTCACAGCTTTTTGTGGCTGCTATATTAGGAAATGATATATGGATTATGCTGCATTGTAGCAGAATGTTTGCGTAACTCACTGATATTTATAGTGGGCCCACAAGAAGTATTGGTCTAATCCTGGCTGCATATGTTTTATAGCTTTTGAGCACAATCCTATGCAAGCTTAGGCAGAAGAAAGGCCTACATCTCTCAGTGTGCCCCAGTCAGCATGGCTAACTGGAAGTGGTAGGTCTAATGTTAAACCTGTGTAGGACTGTACCTTTTGGAAGTGAGCTGTATCCTTGCAATTCCTTCTGTGTTTGCCATCATATTCTGATATACTTCTTAGTACTTTGAGTAAAACCTATTTTTTATTTTACTAGACTAACGCTCAGTTTTATGTGTTAGTCACTCCCATGGTAATCCTGTATTTTACATGGTAATGTATTAAACTACCACTTCTTTGTGGAGAGCAACCCACATGATTTCGCATTTTCATACTGACACATGCTGACCATGAGGTGTTAAGAAAATGGGCCTATAAACTCTTGTAAACTGGTCAGTGGAGTACAGGCAGACATTCATCCTTTTCTTGCAGTTTGGCTTCACTTTCACATGTGGGTTGTAAAAACTTAGAAATAGAAGTTATTTCAAGGAATTCAATTCTACAAGGAATGAGTTAGGCTCTTCTAGAAGGTTATCCTGGTAGAAGGAACATGAAATTACCAACAAACTTACTCAATGTGAAACCTAAAAAATACTCTCAGTGGTATTTGTCTCTTACTAGGTAATTGTAGTTGTATTGTCATCTACTACTTGACTTTTCCCACAACAGATGCTAGAGGCTATTCTCTCAGTACAGAGAAATTATCCACAGCAGAAATGAAGATGATGCAGATGGAGTTAAAATGACTGGAAGAAACTACCAATGTTGGACCTCAGTCTAAAAGATACAGTCAGAACTTTGTATTTATAGGGTAGGCTTGCACATTAAAGTGGATATTTGAGCAAAACTGTAAGTACAGCCAGAGCAAAATGTTTCTTCTAGAAGTGAATGTGTCTATAGGTATTCCATTGGTTTTTTTTCATTGTTCTTTGTACACATAGCCAGCAAAAGAATAGGATCGAATCTTGTTCCCAATTTATTCATTAACTTTGCTTTTCCCTATGTCTACCTAGAAATGATATTCAGTGAGTTCAATGGGGCTTAATTTCAGGTATGTGCATGTACAAGACACAGCTTTAAGATCAGTGTCAGTATAGAATAGCCATATTTAAATAACAAGTCAAGAGGGTACAGTGTAAGTTATGTTTCCTGGATTAAATTTAGCTTGCAGGAAACCTGCTGAGGCTGCAGAAGAGAAATAACTGGAATGTTTCTACTCTGTAATCACTGTTGCACACACTTTACAAACCGTAATAAACATGCATTGCTTTCACTCTTGCTTTCCTATGAATGCCTACAATACTATTAAAATCAAAGCTTTAAGTCACAAAGGTTGGCATTAATCATTTGCTCCAGATTTAACTTGTACCCAGTGTTGCATTATCATTAATCTTTGTTTTTGAGTTAAGTTGCATTCATTGAAGAAATAGTGCTGTACCAATGCTAGAAAATATTCATGTAAAACTTGTAGCCTCAAAAAGACACTGTCAAGTACTTTTTTATATTTTTATATGTCCCATTGTTTGTAAATATCCTCTAAGCTTGAAAATAAATTTTATTTCCCTATCATGTGTATTCCTTTTCTCCGTCATACCATCTGCAGTTCTAACTTTGGTAAATGTCTCAATCCCTTATATAAGCATAGCTATGATTATAAAAGTAACATGGCTGCAAGAGGATTTTATAATTCCACTGTACTGCAGTTATTAGCACTAGTTATTTGCAGAGAATTGATTGATTTTAACCAGTGTTAAAATCAGTCCTTGCTTGTCTAATGTTTTATGGCCCTCGTTATTCCATGAGGTTTTTCAGGCCACAGTACTGCAGTGACACAGCCTACAACTGCCTGAAATGCCTTTTCTATTGGACCCCATACCTTTCGGTTTGCTCTGCCATAATCTAGGTTTCCCTTACTTGTCTCCAACCTGCTCTACTTCCTCTGACCTCTGTCTAGAAATGTGCCTACCTTCAATGTCTACTCTGACCTTAGGGGCTGTATGAGTCTTTAATCCCAAAGTGATTACTTTACTTGTGCTCTGAGCACTGGGAATACCCATTGGTGTTAATCATTTCAGCACAAGTACATCATCATTTAGGTTATATTGCAGGTCTGCCTTCTAGTTACTGCAATTCTTTGTAGCTAAGTACAGACACCTCTTGATGAGGAAGCAAGCATGAGACATAACTTATACCCATTATTATAGTTACTGCATTTCATAAACCAGAAACACACACATTACACCAAACCAGCAAAGAGCCCTTTAATATAAGATAGTGCAGTCACACACATTTTTTCAGTATTAAGTGAACAAGAGGTGAAGATGGCTTCAGAAAGACTGGATGGAAAAATCCATATTTTTATATTCAGGCTGTGTGTTACTATGAGTTATTGGGTATCTGGCATGACAAGTCACATTCTGCACCCTTGTTTCCATAATGGATTATTGCTACAGGATGCCTGTAGCAATAGTCGCATTTAGGGTTCACTTCCACACAAGTTCACCGAAGCCAGCAACAGGTGCTGAAGATGATGCTGAATGACTCGAGTTTGTTACCTGCTCTGAAGCTGCAAGCCTGTGATGAGGCACAATGGCAAAAAAATTGAAGCGCCCTCCCATTTTATCTAGGTCCATCAGCATTTCATAACTTCGGAGCAGCTGACTGCGAACACTTGGATCACTAGCATTCTGCAATAGTACCTAAAAGGAAAGAAAATCACACTATTTTAAACTGTAGTATTAACTACTTCACCCATTTGTATGTATAGAATCAGTTCATTACTTTCTAGTTATTTCTATCCCAGCAGTTACTCATAACCTTCTCAACCAGTGAGTCTCTGAAGGCATTCTGTTCCAGTTATGTTACATTCCTGTTCTGTCTCCCGAATATGGTGCACCGGAATTAAAATTAATTGGAGTTTCTGTTGCAATGGGACTTAAACTTGTTAACACACAACTCATCCATGTTTAGGGAAAAAAAGGACTACAACTCCCATGCTGGTTGGGGAATGCTGGGAATTGCAGGATAATTTTAGTCTACACATACATAAAAGTATGCTCTTAAGGAACCTAGATCGCTGCAATTCACTGAAATCAGCTTTTACATGAATATTAGATCAAACAGTGGCCCCTACCTGCAGTCTTATATCAATGCCCATATTTTTCAAAAAATCTTGTTGTGCTACAGGACCCAGTGTGGCTACTCTTTCCTGTGCCATTCTTCGCAGATAACTGAAGTCAACATCTGCTGTAAGGTCTGCTGTTCCTGGGGACAGTAACACATCATGAAGTTTATGACCACGGAATCCCTGAAAATAGGAAGAATAAAACCCTTTACTTTGCTAGCGGAGGTGAAATAGCTGTTTATGTTGTAGCCAGATAAAGAGTTTGTTCTATGTATACAATGAGATTTAAAAAACAAAACCCCTGATTACATGCCTTAAGCTATTGTTCAGCTACTTTCCACTATTTCTTTTAAGAAATGCTACATTTCTTTGGATAGTGTGCGACATATTTGGGTATTAGTTATTTCCCAATAGCTGCCAAAGGAAAGCACCTATCAGCAATTTTCTTCTGTCACTATTTTTTCAACAGTTTCTGCAGGTACTCAAACTTGTCCTGAAGGACACCTGCAAGACTCAGCTTACCCTGAAAGTATCTGTTTTGGTTCCATCATGACCATAATCTACAATCAGTGCAGCTCCTCCATTCTTTTCAATATTATGGGCCAACTTTTGGATGATGACCCCAGCATCAGGACACACTTCCACATGATTTCTGGATTCTTCCCTCTAAAACATAATTCCAGATTTCAACAAACAATTATGCTAAGTATAGGGGCTGAAGTTGTCTCCTTCCCTAAAAGGAATGATCTCAATAAATGTAACATCTTATACAAAGGACAGCCATGTTCTCATCATGCTATAGCCTTTGATTGGTTTAGCATTTAGTACAACAGAAATGTACGTCACAGAATTCCCTGGAGAAAACTGCAGTAGTAAATATGTAAAATGCAAACATGTGACAAGCACTGCCTAAGAAAAGATATCTGGATTTTCCAATGACATAATCATTGTGAATTTGTTGTTCAATAAACAAACAAAACTTGCATAGAAAACTTGTCAGACTAAACTAGGATAAAGATGGTAACAGATGTACTGTTTTAGGTAATTCATATTGAGCATTTTGATTAAAACAGGAAGATAAGATGATGAAGAACATTCTAGGAAAACCTTCCTCCCTCCCTCCCTTCATTTTGTCAAGGACAACATGGCTTAAAGTTTTTCTGCTGGAACATGAGGCCTGTTTCCCTCCTGTCCTAAAATTAAACATGAACATTGTATTATCTGTTCTAGATTGCAATGTACAACAACTGCATAAATGGATAGTATTAGATAAAATGCAGAGCTAAATTTGTTTAAAACAGCGATGACAACTTAAGCTAAGAGCATTATGAAAAGTGGCAGGCATCTCAAAATGCGTAACACTTTGGTTCACTTTGACACAACTATAAGGCAGGGTTAGAGGGCTTATGACTCCAACCTGTCAAGGCAGAGTACCTGGTTCATGCATACACCACAGATGAAAGGTGTGTGGGTTTGCTTAACTGCTCTTGGATTCAGAATAAGTAGTGTGCTGCCTCAATCACATATGGCTGCATGTGAAATAGGCCAATGGATATATTAGGTTAACAGAGAAATTTATATAGCTGGGAAATACTATCACATGATCATAAACTTACATGTATGAAGGCTTCTGTAGCAGGAGTAGAAGATGGTGCAAGGACAAATCGCAGTTTATCAGGCGTTTCTGGATCAATGTCAACCAACACCTCACGCCACCCTTTTTCTGTTTTCTGTTCATTTTAAATACAGTTAGACTGATGCAGATTTACCCTTGAGCATAATTTTGTTCAGATAACAGACAAAAAGAAGGCCTTCTAATAATTAATTCTTCTATCATTCATTCAAAGTTTTTAAAAATGCAACTTACGTTTTGATTTGCTAATCAGCAGCACTGCACATTTTCCTGCTGAACCACTCAGTATCCTTGCCAGCAATAAAACTTTATATGTCAACACAAGTGTAACTACATAATTAACAGGAGGAAGAAGTGAAAATTCGGTCCTGGAAGTACTGAGTGTTCAGGTCACTAGGTAGATGATAGCATTTATTATGCAAAATCTGACTCTCAAATGTTTATGCGATGACTACTCCCACTTTCAGAAGAAATCCATAATTAGGATGCATGCACGGCATCAGTACTACACTCTTCTTTGACAGAGTCAAATGTAGAACTGAAAATAATACATAAAATGATGCTGCTTTGAGTTGTTTAAAGAGAAAAAAGTGGGGTATAAATCCAATAAATGAATAAATAAATCTTATGTGACAACCTTCCATAACTCCATGCATTGAGATGTGACTTGCTATGGGGTATTTCAGGGCTGTTCCCTCTCTGTACCCTAATCTAGTGAAAAATTAGTGTTCTTACTGATACAGCTTTTGGGCTCAACTCGACTACTGAGTTTCCAGAGAACTGAAAAACTATGTCCATAAGATGCTAGGACTCAACATGTTCCTTGCAAAATACTGTTTAACTGCATTAGTTACTTGGTGTGCCTACATAACCTGTTCTTTTCATTCCTTGGGATAAATACTCTACTTTATAATTGACAAGTTACTCTTTTCCACATCAGTACCAAAGGTATTAGAAATCCATAGTACCCCATAGATCTACAAAACTCCTTTAGAAATTTGGCTTTTTTTCCCTATAAACTTCTATGACCTAGCAAGATTTTTTTCCATCATAACTATCCTTTTGTGAAATTCTTATTAATTCAGATTTTGGAATCACTGCAACCCCACTGCATCTGCAAATGCTTGCAAGGAATCTGAACCTTCATCTCAGTAAGCGTCCAGACTAAATGTGAATTCTCAAAGGCCTTCAGATGAGAACTTTGCTCTGTTCACAGAAAAATATTTGCAAATGTATTGAGGGTTGTTAGGCATCTCTGTAAAAACTAGCCATGCCAAGAAGCACAAAAGGCCACGCTAGGCCAGGCAAGCCTGTGATTATGGATGGAATATACACATTGATAAATTTCTTACCTGCGTGTCACTAGTCACAGAACCAAGAAAACCCTGACTGGCTGGAAGTCTGAAAAACCAACCACCTAATTTTCCCTGCAGTTTCTTGCACACAAGCAGATCCAGAGTTGTCAATAGTGGCTTGCTTGGTATTCAAGATTTGATACATTATGTAACAAAGGAAGGGCAGTGACTCTCCTTTCTTAAATGCATAAAGCAGCAATCCCACACCAGAATTCCAAGCCTGGGATCATTATTTATTGTAATAAACTAAAGGTGTTATGAATACCTGTAACTGGAAGGTTTGTACATACATGATCGAATGCTGGCTTTTCTCTTTTTTATATATATGTATGTGACATTGACCACTTATATGCCTATATACCAATGATAGAGAACACCCCAAATTTCTCCCTAGTATGCCTGGGTCTTGAGTTGATCAAATCTTGGGTTGAGTCTAGAGACAGTCAACTTGCTTGGGAAGCTGAAACGGGCAACTTTAGGATAAGTAGGACCTGCCACTGCTGTCATCTTTGGTTGACAACAAACATAACATTTTCCCAGCTTTAGGAGGACTCTACACTGTGATCTCTCTCTCCACCCCTTCCTGTCCTTTCAAACCCTGTGGAAAAAACTATGGCAGCTTCTTTCTGATGCTGGAAAAGAGACCTCAGATGGTCTTGTAGAAATCACAAACAGCATTCTGGAGGGCAGGGAAAGGAGGAGAAAATCGAGGCTGCAAAATGCTTTACTGTGTAGCCTCTACAGCCCTGCTCCTAACTTGGCAGCACAACTTCTCTAGCCAGAGGCACAACTTAGAGGAAAAACATTAAAAGAGGCAACAATTGGCAGAGAAGAGAACATTGTCTTTGTGCTCACAGGCCTTATCTCTGCTGGCAGGAGCCTGACGGGGCATAGGAAGAGGATGATGATGGGATATTTGGAAGCCTCCAAGAGTGAAGGCTTTCATTTCACCGGCAGCAGTCCAATACAATTGTGCTGTAAGTCAGATTTGTTTGGGAGATTTCTTTTACCAGAGTGAAATGTGTCAGTGCTATCTCACATATGGTTGTTCTCTTCACTTGGTTGTATTTGTTATCTTTCTATAACACGCGTTCCTTAAACAAAGTCAAACGGCAGCTTGCAATCATACCTGAAATTTATGTATAGGTAGAGCATCAAGAAATTCATTTGCTAAATAAAAACTATTGCCTAGGGAAAAAACAAAGTGTCAGTCAAATTCCAACAATAAAAATTAACAATTTCCATATCTGTATTTATTTGTTTGTTATACTGTTATCCCGCCCATAAGCTGAAACTCTCTGGGCAGATAAAACAATTTAAAATATAAAATACAGCATAAAATGTGCTATAAAATTTGAATAATTAAAACTACAGTATAAAATAAAAGTTAGAACTAGAGTAAAACCCAGTGGCAGTTGAAAAAATTAAAATACAACGTGGATATCCAAAATCTTTGCTTGGAACTATTGTAAGAGCCATCAATCTGAATTAGACTGTGGGGCTTGTGATTACCATTTCATTTAATGTGACTGCGTTCTAGTCTTTTCTGCTGAAGAGGTCTACTTTGCCATACACCCTGAGCACTTTCAATGAGAGGTTATAAACTATAGCGTAGTATGAATGAATTCTGCCAATCATCCTAAGGAAATCTCTGCAAAGTGTATGCACCAATGAAGAAATCACAGTACATCAATGTATAGGTTTCAAAGTAAGTCACTGCTGAACTTTAACTACTACTTGTAGCTGTAGTGGGCGACCCGCCCCCCCCCCCATGCTTGTCTACCATCCGGCTTGATCAGTTGACATAATAATCCTGTTAGAATTATTCTGTGTAGATACCTTCTCCCATCACGTTTAATTTGCTCTGCACGGTGCAACACGTCTGAGGAATCCCCATGTGTTGCACCAGCTTCAGCAACAAGTTAGCACGTTTAGCTCTATGTTGGGTTGTATCCTTTGTCTTTCTTGCTGATAGATGCCATTGCCTTGGCAAAGTATGCAGAGCCTTATCTGGTATATTAAGCTAACATGTTTATCAGCTTTTCTGCTAGCTGAACAGTATTCGGTTTCACACTACTGCTCCAGATCTAGATCACTGCAAGCACTGCAGACGGTGCTCTACTACAAGTAGTACTCCCATGGAGTATCTCTTTCCCACCAGATGTGACTCACACTGTCAGAAGAAAAGGCACTTTGAAGGAGATATATAATGATATATCTCCCATGTCGAAAAGGTGACCACAGATAATCCACTAACAAACATGCAATTAGTGCAAGGATTTTCATCTGTACTTCGACTGCTAGAAGCCTGGTTATTACTCCAAGGTTGGAAAGCCCCAGGCCAGGAGCCAAATCGAGCCCTCCAGGGGTTCCGGAAAGGCCTCAACCCTTTCCTCCAACCACTGCCCATTTGTTGGTTTCCTGGCTTCTGTGCCCTTTTTCTTCTTATTCCAAAATCCTCTCCTAAGGCTTAGTTACTGCCAGTAAGAGCTTTATGCTAAAAACAGGTTAGTTATTTTTGTACTTTTTTGTATTCTGGCACTATTTTGCCTTTAGTCCCACCCACTCTGACTTCAGTATTGGCTGCCAATGGAAGGTGGCACCCAGAAGCTTCTTCAAAGTTTAATGCGGCCCACAGGCTGAGAGAGGTTCTCCCACTGGGTTTATATCCTTAGCAGGGCTAGACTCTGCGGAAGCCTGTCTGTGTGTGCCAACAGGATTGGCCTGACAGAGATGCAAGTCCATATGATACTAGGGATAGTATAAGCTTGTGATGTTTCTCACAGTCACAAAATAAAGAACTACTGTACTATTCTGTTCATCTTGTGAAAAACTGCAATTTTCATTTGCATTCAAGATAGTCCCATTCATATTAAAAAGCTTCCAGCAGAACCACTTCTAGAATTATCTTCCCTATGACCACTGTTCCCAAATTGCAAAACTGTTCTTAATCCTAAGAAAAGTGTAAATGAATGTTGAGCATATAATTAAATCAGCACAAAAACAGAAAAACCTTACCCAGAGGCACATCATTCAAATCTCGATACCAGAAAATTGGCAGTTTGGTCTTAGTAACTCCTTGCATGTAAGCAGATGGTCCCTCTTGTAATTCTATCTTTTCTTCTGTCAGCACTGATGCTTGAATCTCACTTAATTTGGGACTGACCTCCACCAAATGCACAGAAATGTTGCATTTACTAAGTAAAGAGCCCAGCTGATTAAAAACCTGTAGACACAAGGCAGTACTGTTACAGCTAAAAATATATGTGCTAATTTTACTGCTGTAGACTGCACTTTGAAATAATGAACAATCTCTCAATTATTTAGATAAAATTATTTTACAAATGCAATTTGTGGCTCTTTTCAAATGCTTAAGATAACTGGTATCTCAGATACTTTGGTGGCATGATGAAAACCATGACTTTACCCCCAAATGGCAGGGATATATCATTTGACTAATTAGCACAAACTGGAACATAAGAACTGCTGAAAATAAAAAAGATAAAGGCAAACTCTCAAGACTACAACTGTGCTGCGCTATATGAAAATTATCTGGGTAGTGTAGCTGGTGGGATATATAGAAACCTAGGTGTTTTAGCCTGCACTTTAAAAAGCATGCACATTAAACATGTTTCTAGTCCACAGTATGGTGAGAAAAAGGCTTTGCTTACTTACCCGTAAAATATCACTGGTAAGGCTACCTCTACCTGGCCCCAACTCTACCAGCTGAATTTTTTTTGGTTTTCCAGTGGCCATCCATTCACTAATAAACCAAATGCCTATTAACTGAAAAAACGAAGAGGTATATAGGTATATGCATTTTATGAGGCTTTTTTTAAAAATACAAGCAATTGGAGTACCAAGGCTGTTGTTCTGTACACACTGAAGCAATTTAAGCATCACTGAAATAAACAGTTAAGTGTGTACAGCACTGTAGTCAATATGTTGGACCCAAATTATTTATCCTAATAAATTTTTACTAGGGTCTAGAAAGTACAGTCTAAAAAGAACCCAGCTTAACTTCCAGATCTAGTACAAAGTATCAGATTTAAGGATTAATTCAACACTACTTTAGTAGACATCTGTTTGTACAATGCAGGATTCCCTCCTCTCCCATGCTGTCTAGTCCCCCCCTCTCACATCTGGTGTGGCCCTCAAATCTGTTCTGGTATGTCCTCCAACCATCTAGAGTAGAGGACACATGGGGGCCAGTAGGAGAGAGAAGGGATTTGATGCACCAGCATTTCACTGGTGGAAAACTATTGCAGGATACAACCCTTTTAGTAAATAATAATAATAAATTTAAATGAGCATGATGTTTTTCCACAGAGGTGTGCAATACTGGCCTACAATAGCAGTACAATAACATGAATGCATGTCAAAGGATCATTACAAAACACTGTACTACTAACTCATTTCAGAACATTATAGAGCAATCCAAAGACAATATTTCATTTCAATAACATGAGCAATACAGCATCTCAAATACATTACAATATAGACAGTATCTATCAAAAACCACAAAAAGGATATTATTTAAGTATGCAGAGTTATCAGATTTAAAAGAGACATTTTTGTTTGTAACCTGAACATTTGGAAATAGCACTGGAAACCTCAAAACAAGATTGTGACATATGTTGGTACTTAAAAGGGCCAGTGCACAAACCTTGACAGGATAAAGGTCAAGTACAGGATCTTATGGGTTGTGCTCCTGATAGAGGGCTCCGTATTCAGAGGGCAAAGCACGCTAGGATACAAGGTGGCTGAAGGCCATTCAGCTTTCATTTATCCATTTAAAGCACAACAGTAGACTGGCTTTGAAGCTTGTCTAGCTGGCTTATTTTTCAGAGAACTGGAGGGGCCACGGGAGACTCCCTGTCCTGGCTTCTCCTCTCTTTACTCACCAGCTTAGCTCCAACATCTCCGTAGTGGTCACGTAAGAGTTCCTATGAGAAGCTTTCCATGGCGGCTGAGAGGAGAGAACAGGGATCCACAATTGGACTGCCTTCTCCACACTTGTGGAGCTATCTACAGGGTTAGAGGAGGAGGAGGAGAGCATCCAATGGTGCCTCTGATGCTGCTGAAGTCACAGGACTACTCTCTTAAATAGTAATGCCATAAAATGTTTGTCTCTTATCAGGAATCACATGGCCAAATGCTCATAATGCATGTCATCATATACTTCGAGAAATAACCATACTTAAAAATATTACCTCTCCAAAGATCTGACTTATTTCAGGTGAAGTAACAAAATCTCCTTTTTCTCCTAGCATGTCACGGTGCATATAGTATCCCTACAGAAAAAGAAGGAAGTCATCATTGTATGTCCCACTTACTATGTGTTATACTTCCTATTCCACTAAAATTCCCAATCCTTGATTATATTTGCTTCCTAGTCTTCTTTGATTCTGCAGTGAAAACAAGCAAATAACCTTTTGAAAAAGAATGAAAAATATTCTTACTGCGACATAATTTCTCAGACAAGAACTGGAGTTCAAGTGTATGCAACTGCAGATTTACTGATATGGTAAAAACAAGGTGTACATTCACTTCAGCTAAGAAACTGCATGCAAAGTGGGCCGAGGAGGAAGAATCCTAATGACAGGGGACACATGCAGTGGACTGAGGAGGTGTGACCTGACACAAGGAGGGTGCAAGAGACACACAGCCAAGACAAAGAAAGACTAAACAAATCTTACTGAGGGTCTATGCTTAGGAGAAGCTATTTATGCAAGCAGAAAGGAGTGAGCAAGTAAATGAGCAAGGGACTATAGGAGGCTTGGAAACTGTAAGCCCCCCAAAACAAGGCCACAGTGGAGCCCATTTTGCACACCAACTCTTTGGTTTGCACATCTTGGTTTGCACAAATGCACACCTTTACTACAAAAACTGTATAGCATCAATGGAAATCTTATTTTGTGCAAGTTGATTTATATTCTCAGATGAATTCTTCAAGGTGAGACTATAGTGAGGTCCATCAAATATGGTAAAAAGTTAAACTAGATAACAGAGCAGACATGTATTAGTCTCTTACAGGGTTTTCTTTGCAAATGCTAGTTTAAATGCAGGGGCTAATGGAGGACAGGTGGATAATTTATTATTATTTGTTTGTTACATATACATCCTGCCTTTTTTCCCATCAAGGCAGCTTACATGATTCTCCTACTCTTCTCACTCTTATCCCCACAACAACAACCCTGTGAGATAGTTTGGGCTGAGAGTCTGTGACTGGCCCAAAGTCACCCAGTTAGCTCTAACCCTAACAGCAATAACAGCAATAAAGAAGACCACTGGAGGACTGTTAACATCTGTTGCATATTTGAGTAGCTGCAGAGAAATGAACATATACAGATGTTTCCAGAAATGCTTCTGGCAAGATATCAATTTAGTTATGGGTAGAAAAGCTTTCTTTTGTAAAAGGAGCAGTTCATTGGAGCTTCCTTATGCAAAGCCTATCTGCAAGCTTTGGGCTATTCCCAGAAGTACTAAATCTTCATTGTGCAACTGGTTGTGCATGGCTGATCACCACTGGCATTGCCCTTTGAATAACAGAAAAATATAAATTAGGCCTCCAGTCCTACAAAGCAATTTGTATCACACAAATCTAGCATGGGTGCTGTACATACCTTCACAGGATTAGTTAAAACTTCTCGCATATATTCAGCAACTGTAATGGGACCAGTTGACTTAATTTTCATTGTGAGATGTTTCAGCATTGGAGTCACTGGGCTGTTTTCTGCTGCTTTGCTTTCTGATCTAAAGCAATGATACCTTAATACAGAAGAACAACCTGTGTGAAAGCAGAAGATTAACCATTTTCAAATTGTGCATCTAAAGTAGTCTCTCTTGAAGGGGCTTATGCAGCCAAGTTCTGAGGAAGTATACAAAAACTAATAATTATTAGACAGTATAATTGTTAAAATGGAGTAATATTCAGCTTTTTAGAGAAATCCAAACATAGTCATATGATTTTGAGCATAATAATAATTTAAGCTCTAAGTTCAGTTCCTGCACTACCAGTTTGTTCCCAAATCTATTCAAAGTTTGGTTTTGAACTTCACGCATCTCAATTGCATAGATACTTTTGGTTTATCGGGTGGCATATGAAAGTTTTAAACAGTCTGGTTATTAGGATTACCTTTCTTCAAGCAAACCAGCCTGGCAATTAAGATCTTTACCAGAGGTACTTCACCAGGTGCTTCCCAAACTACCTTCTTAACCATATCACCTAGTGCCTTTTAGGTGCTGGGTATGGCCTGTTCTGTTCTCTTGGGATTTTAAGTGGCTCTTGATGTGCCTTTCAGGCTATTTCCCTTCTTTTTCTTGTCATTTTAATTGCCTTCTGGATTATTTTATTGCCTTCATGCTGCTTTTCATGTTTTTCTATTACTGTTTTGTTACGATACAGTCTCAAATACGTAAGTGTGGTGTAGCGGCTATAATGCTGGACCAGGACTTGGGAGACAGAGGTTCTAGTTCCCACTTAGCCAGGGGTGGCTTTGGGCCAGTCACAGCCTCTCAGCCCAACCTAGCTCACAGACTTGTTGTGAGAATAAAATGTAGAGAAGACCTTTGTAAGCTGCCTTTGGTTCCTTGCAAGAGAAAGAAAGACCCTTTTATTTAAAACTTATTTTAATTGCTAAAATTATTTGTATTTATAGGATTTTAAATTTTTTAGCCAAGATGCACCGGGTTTTTAAATATCATTTTATTGTTATATTGTTATTTATGTATTTTGTTTCTGTTGTGAGCCGCCCCGAGGCTTCACTGCGATGGGGGCGGCATAAAAATGTTTTAAATAAATAAATAAAATGTCAGGTAATGTACTAGTACAGTTGTAGAGAAAGTTTTTGGCTTTCATCCTAGGCACACTTACCAAGGGAAGCAAATTCACAGAAGTCAGTAAAACTTCAGCTGACTTCTTTCCCTCCTCTTTAATATTTTCAAAACTACAAGTTTGAACTAGCTGAACTGGTGTTTTGTGGTGCAAAATGTCTCTTCGCAAATTACAATCCCCAAAACTACCACCAGCATTGCTGGCCAGCTGGCCAGACCTACTAGTGACACCCAAAGCCCCTGGGTCCTATTTCTGATGCAGCCAGCCTCTTTCAAACATGTGAGCACTGAGGTCTTGTGATCCCAAACATCTGAAGGGCACCATGTTGGGATGAGGTTACTGTGAAGCCAGAAGGGAACAGGCAGCTCCGAGTGACAGCGGACTCCCGCCGCCCGCAACTCCTGGAGGCGATACTGACAGTTCTGCATTGCAGCCCGCGAATCACGTTCCCAGCGACGTATTTCTAAACGTATTCCAGAGGTGGAAGTAGACTCTGCGGCTGCACCCCTTAATCCCTAGCTCCGCGGCACGGCTAAGCCAGAGGCGTCTCGTTTCTCCTTCGTTCCAGGCCGCGGTTCTATCATTCAAACAAAAAGGTCGCTCTGCAAAAGGGAGACACTCCTAGTCCCGTTAACGACAGGAAAAGAGAGGAACGTGACCGCCAAAGTATGCAGAGCGCCTAGCTCGCGCTCACAAACCCCCCAGCCTACATCGCAAGCCTCTGCACTTACTGGGCAGTAAGCCCCCTGAAATTCACAGGCCTTACTTCGGAGTAAGGCAGGGCACGCCGGCGGACGCAGCGCCCCGCTCACATTACCATGGAGCCGCAGCAAGCGGGCCCTCCCCGCCACCAAGTGCGCGGCTTGCAGAAGGGATCGCCCCGGGCGCGCGAGCGGCATGCCGGCGCCGGCCGCAGTCCACGCCGGCCGCGCGTCTCGTCAGCCGGCTTGGCCCGGCCGCTGAATAGAGCAATTCCTCTGAAAATGCGCCAGGCAGCGCCACGGTCAGGACCGCGCCTCAACTAAGTTTTGCTGGTGCGGGAGGCGCGGGCCCGCTCCCTGCCCCTTCGTTTCCCGAGCCAGCGAGGCTGGCTGCTGCACGCGTTTGAGCCGCCGCCGCCGCCTCCACCCGGAAGCGAGAGTCGCGCATGTGTGGCCTGGCGGGGAAGATGGCGGAGCGCAGGGAGCTGGATGCTGAGGCTTGTGACGAGCTCGATGGCGAGGAGGAGGCTGACGATGGAAGTGGCTTTACGCTGGAGGAGGTGCTGCGCCTTGGCGGGACCAAAGTAAGCGGGGGAATCCGTGGGGCGTCAAGGAAAGGCGGGAGCACGCGTGTGAACCTGTGCGCGGGAGCGCACGTGGGGAGCCCTCGGCTCACTCCTGGCGCTTTCCTCGGCCAAGTTGTGGCTTGGAAGTGTAATTGGTCCGGCGGAGCTTCCCCAGAAGGGCTTAAGCGTCCCGAGGGCGGCTTCATCGGCTGAATGGCTGCCTGGCAGGCAGCTATTTACGCCTAGAAAGTGGAAGTTGTAGGACAGTCTTCCGCAGCCCGGTGCCTCTAGATGTGTTTGGCTGCAACGCATATCATCACAGTCAGTAGAGCCTATAGCTATGATAGCTGGGCGTGGGGAGGGGGGCGGGATTCTTACCCAACACGGCCGGAAGGTGTCGAGTTGGAGAAGGCTGCTCTAGGGATGACAGCCTCAGTGTCTGTATAGCCTTTGGGTGTTCAAGGGAAGATATTTTTCTGTATCAAACTTTTGTCTCTTACTGGCTTTGTACAAAGAATCTTCTAATCACATATATATTGTTGTTTTTAGACCAAATAACCCAATTTGAATAACTTTAAAGGTGGCTTAGACACATTCATGCAAGATAAGGCCATCAGTAGCTACTGATCATTACATTTAAATGTAACTTCAGATGTTCACCAGTTGCTGGGGAACACAGGTGGACAGGTGCTGTTGCACTTAGGTCCTTTGTATGGGTTTCTCATGGACATCTGGTTGGCCACTGTATAAACAGATGATTGGACAAAATGGGCTTTTCTTATGATCTAGTATATTTGTTGGTGCCATCAAAGTTTTAGTGCTTTGAGCACAAGTGGATGTTCCTTGACTTGAAGGATTTTTCAAAGTGCAATAAGTAGATAAGTGCAGTGGTAGATGAGGTTGTGTCATGAAGGACTGATAAATAATGTCAGGATTGACTGTAGACTTACAGAATGAGTAAATATTCACTTTCATTTATATTTCATGTGGTCTTCCAATAAGCATCTGTTGTGGAAAAAGGTATGCAGGCTAGATGGATGTAGAATTAAAATATTGCCTATTTGACAGTATTATGGATGTATTAAAATGTGGGAAAGGCTTTTATTTACTTATTTGGGTTTCATTTACTCTCACTTCAAACATTTACTCAGTTATTTGTGTTTCTGGATGCATATGTGGCAAACCTGTATGTGTTCTGGCTATTTGTCACTGATGTACTGTCAGATGATGTCATTTTTATTCTGTAAACATATTAACGAGGCATTGATGTCATTATTTTGTTTTATACAGCAAGATTATATCATGCTTGCTACTTTGGATGAGACAGAAGAACTTGTAGATGGTGGCAAAAAAGGAGCAATTGATGATCTAAACCAAGGAGAACTGGAGGCATTTATAAATTCACTAGGAGTGAACCAATATTCAAAGAAGTTCCTGGCGGCAGAAGAAAAAGATGAGAAGGGAGCAGCAGTAGACAGGCAGGAAAAGCCCCCACGAAAAGAACAAATTAACCGAAAAGAAGTAAATGTTACTACAGTAGGAAAAAAAGAAGATAATGTGAAAAGGAGTAAAGAAAACATACAGTCAATTAATGCCAAAAATAGTAAGGAAAAATTGGTTCCTGATAGTAATGAGAACAGTGGTTTGTTGCTGGGAACAAAAAAAGAAAAAGAAACTTTTCAATTTCAAGAGCGACAGGTACTATTGATAAAACCAGGGGGCAAATGGCATGATCTTGAGTACACAAGTGAATTTACCACTGAACCCCAAAGTCAATTCCTGGTATCCAAGTATAAGGCTTTGGCTCAAAAATTGTACCAACAGGAGGCAGACCTCTACAAGAATAAAACCAATCTGCAGAAAGGATCCTCATCTGCTTGGATGAAAACTGTTGTCTCATCAGGTACTCTTGCTGACAGAATGGCTGCCATGACTCTTCTTATCCAAGATGCTGCTGTCCATTCACTTCAATTTATAGAGACCCTGGTGAGTCTGATCAAAAAGAAAGGCAGCAGAAGACAGAGCTTAATGGCCCTGGATACTTTCAAAGAGCTTCTCATAACACATCTTTTACCAGATAGTCGAAAGCTGTACACTTTCTCTCAACATCCTTTTGACGCTCTGGAGAAACTTTCAAGTGGCAATAGGGACTCAAGGGACAGGCGCCTGATTCTGTGGTATTTTGAGCATCAGCTGAAGCACTGGGTGGCTGAATTTGTGCAAGTGTTAGAATCATTGACTCACGATCCCCTGATGGCAACTAAGACTCGTGCAATTGCTGTTGCTCATGAACTTCTCTGTAATAAAGTAGAGCAAGAGAAAGCTTTTCTTGTGCAGTTGGTAAATAAACTTGGAGATCCTCAAAACAAAATAGCTACCAAAGCATCTTATCTCCTAGAGACTCTGCTTCATAAACATCCCAACATGAAAGGAGTGGTGTGTAATGAAGTGGAGAGGCTGCTCTACAGATCAAACATTAGCCCCAAAGCACAATATTACGCCATTTGCTTTTTGAACCAAATAGTTCTTAGCCATGAGGAGAGTGAGCTGGCTAACAAACTCGTAACACTTTATTTTTGCTTTTTTCAGTCTTGCATCAAGAAAAAAGATGTTGAGTCTAAAATGCTTAGTGCTTTATTGACAGGGGTGAACAGAGCTTACCCTTATGCTCAAGCTAGCGATGAAAAAGTAAAAGAACAGATGGATACTTTGTTTAAGGTTTTGCACCTGGTGAACTTCAGTACTAGTATCCAGGCATTGATGCTGCTCTTCCAAGTGATGGACTCCAGTCAGACTGTGTCTGACCGATACTATACAGCCTTATACAAGTAAGCATTGTGCACATTTTTCTGAATCAGCCAAATTATTATTTTCTGGAATAGTAATTACTGAGTGACTAGTTTTTTGATGTGCAAATTATTTTTAACTTGCGAATTATATAGTAATGTCATGCACTTCATCAACTAGCAGTAATTGCAATATGTGGGTTTGGCAATTGATAGGTAAACTGCTTTGCCTGAAAACTCAGAATAAATTTAATCCTTTAGGCAAGGGCATACAGAAGATAGATTAGGATTTACTTGTAAATCTCTGGGTGATTTGAAGTAATTAGAGTGTTGCACTTGGGACCTGGGAAATTGAAGTTCTAGTTCCCATTTCGCCATGAAGCTTTGTATAAGGATGATTAGGGCCAGTCACTGCCTTTCAACTTACCTTACAGGATTGTTGTTGCTGTGAGGATAAAAAGGTGTAGAGGAGGGCTATGTAAGCGGCCTTGAGTCCTCACAAGAGAGAAAAGGGCAGGATATAACTGCAGTGTCATAATAATAGAAGATCAGCAAGGATTCCTGAATTTCACTTGTTTAACAAAATTGCTCCTCCAAATTATATGTTGAAAGGAAGAAAGCTGTGGGGTGGATTTTTGTGTGGAAAGACTGTGAACTCCATTCAATTCCGCTACTCAGAAAAATGCCTTGGTTCAGAATGAATGTTTAATATATGCTAAACTTTGGTTGGTGAATTTTTGGGTACAACTAATCAACAAAGTAGCTCCCACAAGCTCAAGGTCTATCTTCTGTTGCTTTAAGGTGCTTGAATCTTTTCTCCTTTTTTGTTTACTTTTTTGGAATTCTGTTATTATCCTTGGGTAAAGACAGGTTGAAACAAAAGTCCTCAGTTACACCAAAGTTTTTCTTTCACCTGTCTCTCAGCTCCTTCTAACTTTGATTTATATATTTAATGTTTTTAAAAACTAAATGATAAAGTGAATACAGGGATTGTTCATTCAGGCTTGGTGGTGTAAAGCCTTTTAAATATAATGCATTTATCATTTTATTTAATCGAATTCCAGCAATTCTGGGATTTTGTCCATTTAAAGCAGCTTTCCAGTTTAAACAAGGATGGGTAAAAATATGTGATAGTATATATCTGTTGTAGTAAACAGTGAGGTGAAAATAGGTTTATGTTTCATAGTCAATTGAATCAATACCATTTCAGTGAATTATTCATAAACAGCAGTTAATGCAGCAAATGTCTTTTTTTTAAAGGAAGCTGCTGGACCCAGGATTAGCATTATGTTCCAGACAGTCAATGTTTCTCAACCTTGTCTACAAATCTTTGAAGGCTGATATAGTACTCCGTCGGGTGAAGGCTTTTGTGAAACGATTGCTTCAAGTCACCTGTGGACAAATGCCGCCATTCACCTGTGGAGCCTTGTACCTTGTATCTGAACTTCTGAAAATAAAACCAGGCTTAAGGGTGCAGCTGCAGGATCATGTGGTATGAGGTCTTTGTTTGCTACAAGATTTTTCTTAGTACTCGTGATTTGTTCTTTTTTTGGTGCCATTTTATTATTTTATTGTGGCATCTATCATGATTTTAACTTACCCAAAGTTTTCTGGATGATGTATGGGTATTGGATGGTCTGAAAGGGTAAAAACATAACGATAAATGGCTGTTGCCCTCAGTTTAAAAAAGCTGAAGTTACTTTCGATCTGTTTTGGTTTGCAGAGTATCCTCTCAATGAGATGATTGGTTTAGATTTAAGAGTGCCATAAGGGTGCAGTTTTCTGGTCCCTGGTGAGCATACCAGAGATCATAGGATTTTTTGACTTGGAAATCAAATGTTCACTTCCCTTCACCTCTCAGCCACCTTGGAAGGAACTGCAGAGATTGAAAAGGGAGCATTCTGGTGAGCCAGGAGGAGAGAAGAGAGTCTGAGATACACAAAAATCCCATGGTGTCTCCAGCCTCACTCTAGATGGGTTCAGAGACATATACAAGACAAAATAGGAGGATGGTGGGGTGGAAAATTGAATCTACTACCTCTCTGGATGCTCAAATTTATCAACACCTTGTATTATTGCCATATTGGTTTTATGTTTTTTCTGTGTTTGAAACATTAATTTCCTAGGAATCTGATGATGAGGAACATTTTCATGACCACGAAGAAACTGAAGAGGAAGAAGAAAGCCTTGTAGAGGCAGATAAAGAGATCCAAAGTAATAGAATGGGAAAGTCTGTGCAGCCTCATGACCCAGTTTCAGGAGCATCATGGGTGCATCACCAGAATCTGGCAGGTAAAATTTGTGAAACACTGAGCTTGGTCTGTTAGACACTGAATGGCATCTTGGTTTTCCTTTGCCTGGTATTTCCATTTGTTTAGGTACAAAGTAAAATTGTTTCTCTTGTTCCACATCCAAACCATTCCTTGCCTTAGGCTCATATTACCTCCATTTAACAGAATAGCCATAAGATATTGACTGGGTTACATGAGACTTAATTTTTTTGGATCCAAGCTAGCATTCATATTTCTCTGCTCACTCTGGTTTCTGTTCCACTTTAGATACCTAGAAACCTTGTGAAATTACTAGGCTATTTCCCTTTTTATTGTCCTAGCACCAGATGCCACCCTGCACTAGTAGAAGTCAATTGGCCAGCTGTGCCACTTTTCACTAGCTTTTGCTATCTAAACAACAGGCAATTTTATGAATCTGGATTAGAGTGAATAGACTTTGTTGTACCTTTGTGTTTACAGTAGAAGAATTCTGTTTCCTGTTCTATAATCTGGTATTTTCCATTTGTTTGAGCTTGAAGACATAAAATGCCCTTTATATTTCAGGTGGCAAGAAAACAGGTGATTATGACCCATTACATCGAAATCCTTCATTTTGTGGAGCGGACAGAACTAGTTTTTGGGAACTAAAGCAGGTACTGTTCAGGTTTTTTTATGGATACAGAATTCATCAGGAACTAAGACGTGGCTTTAATAACCTAGACTTTTGCAGGAACTTCCTATATCATAACATTATCTACCATTTCAGCCTTAGTTGAAGTGGCACCTCCTGATTTAAGGGGACTTCTGGCTCCTGCCATTTTCCTTAGTGGTTTTCAGTGGTTTGTAATTAGACACCCTTTATAACAGTGTTTTCAACAGTCTCCATGTACATTTGCCTTCTGTTTCATGGCTTCAGAGCTATTTAGGTCATGTAATAGCAACTGGAGCAATATTATACCTTTTTAGGGTAAGATGTTTATTTAATCTGTTAGTGGAATGCCAATCAACTGTTACAATTTTTAAAACCTTTTTATTATTTAATTTTACTCTGCCATGATGAAAAGCGAACCCTGTGTGATAAAATAAATAGTCACAAAAAATTCAAAGATTTTTTAATCACCAATTGAAGATTTTATTAAGCAGTACTTGAGTATGATTAATAAAGAAATCTTGCTTTTCTAGCTTTCAGAACACTTTCATCCATCAGTGGCCCTTTTTGCAAAAACCATCCTAGAGGTTAGTTGATTTTTTCCATTATGCTGTCATCTGTATATCTCTCCATACATGCATAGTATTTGGGATCACATGGGTGCAGCAGGGCTTCCTCTGTCCCTTGTCACCAGTGGTTGATTCTGCATTGCATATGTATTTTCCGTAGAACCAGTCTCTAGAAAACTAGGGTTACTATCATGTTTCCTGGTGGGAGACAAGGTAGTTTCATTTCTGCCTATTTCCTCTACAGCCCTGTTATTTGTCTGCCTTTCTCATATATTGTGTGGCACACCTGATGAGGTCAGGAAGAGCCGCCACTGGTTTGTCTCTGCTTATGAGAATGGAAGAGCTATGTCTGGTCCAGGTTTAACCCTGGCAACCTAGTCTAGCAAATTTCACCTTTCTCTACCCTGTCTCATCTGCCAGATTGCTCCCATGTGTTATCTTCTCCTGTTGTTAAACAGATGTTGCTTTTCTGCCACTAAAGTATTTGTTGATGCAAAATGACATTGAGTTTTGATTTTGTTTTAGGGAAATTACATTGAATATACAGGTGACCCTCTACAAGACTTCACACTAATGAGATTCTTGGACCGTTTTGTTTACAGAAATCCCAAAATTCACAAGGGCAAAGGTATAAAGCCTATCAACTTTTGTTAAAGATAGTCAAATGGTTAAGCCAGGTAACCTTGGTTTTGTATGACCTCTTGACTTTCTTATGCAGAGAACACCAGCAGTGTGGTAATGCAGCCAAAGAAGAAACAGTCAATGAGTAATGTGCGAAATCTTGCTGGTAAGTAAAGACATTTCGGTCTAAATAATGTAGTTGGTGCTACTCTGATCATCAGTACAACCTAATGTTGCAGGTTCCATCCATTTCTGTAGCTATATTTGCAAGTATATCCAATGATGATATTCTGCTCAATGCACAATATCCTGCTCTATTCTAGCACTAGTAGAAATTACATTGCGCTATCATACATGACCAGTGGTACACTGCCAATAGCATGTGTTGGTGCAGTGAGTTTTCTCATTGCACCAGCAGATGCTATTGGAATTCTGTTGGAGGTTGTTTATGTGAATGCAGTGGAATTTATATTAGTGCAGGTGTTGAATGGGATACCAAAGAAGCATCTTTGATCAGGCTCCTGTGACTGGAAAGGTGTGTGGTATTTCTCTCCAGTTCCTCCTGCAGTACCTACATCATTGCCTACATTGTTTTGGAAGTTTCTCCAATTTGTTTTTTAACGTCAGTTTAACCTTGCTTAAAATAGGTTTGTTTATTTAGCAGGCTGTTGAGGAGGTAAGGTTATGAACAGTCTTTATTTTTAACTGTGTCTCCTGGAATATCATTTATTTCAATTGCAAATAGTTTAGCATTTTTCTAGTTTTACACTTGGAAATTGATAGTAATTGCATTAAATTTTTTGATACTGATGAATGAATTAAAATAGTTCTCCTAGAAGACACCTAGCTTTTCCTCTAAAGGAAGAAAAGAGGATCATGGTAAGATACACAGATAGTTGTGAAACTTTCAAAACTGACATTCAAATGAACAGGTTAGAGTTAATTTCCTAACAGATTGCCTTACTCGTGACAATATGTTAATACCAATAAAGCTGTGATGTAATAAATACAATAGTGATTTTGTAGAACTTCTGTACTTTTGACTGTAATCCATGTTCCCAACATATCATATAACTACATTTCTTCTGCCTAAGTGATCTAAGCAAGAAAAGATACTTAAACTTACTAGGAAGGATTGTATAATGGATTTACTTGTTCTGATGTTACTTACTGGAGCATAGTTTCTGGGGTAATATTGCTAATTGGCAACCATATTTAGGATTAGAAAAACCCATTTAGCTATTGGGTTGGCAGTATGTCTTTCTGGTTGCAAAGATCTGGTTATCTTTTGTTTAACTCTGTTCTGCTGTATTAAGGTTTATGATTGGAACTAGTGATAGGAGTTCACGTGGGGAACTTGGTTTTTTTCTTCAGTTAGTCTCAATACACCATTATGGAAGCCAGTCCCCCGTGATACAGCCATCTTCCCCTGTGTAGCCTCACCACATACTCAGCAGGTAAATGGTAGCCATTTAGTTCATAGGAGATTGGGATGTTGGATTTACTGTCTGGGTCCAGGCAACGTGGTAATCCACACGTAAAGGCTGAGTATAGGTTGAATAAGAGTTGAGTGTAGGTTCTTGCTGAAGTGTGGAATGTTGAGCAAATGAGGGTTGCCATGTTGCCTGAATCAGCTGTGCAAACAAACATTGGTTTGTTACCCACAAACAACCCATGGAAAGAACGCCTAGCTTGTTGTTGGCTTGTGAACTCCATCCCCATAGCAAGGATAAATCCAGCCAGGTGCAACTTGGTCAGCCACTGATGTGGCAAGGGAGTGCTCATAGTGTTTTCAAGGAAATTAATGAACAGGTACATGGAAAAAAGGCTGAGTGTCTGCTGGCTATCTGGTCAGTTCAAAGTAGCTGCTTCCATTGTTGTCCTGTACTTCGAAGAGAAGAGCAGGTAGAAGAATGAAGCAAGCACCACATGCAAGACAAAGACAGTAGTGTACTAATGAAAAACTAAAGGGCATGAAATGGTTTAGAGTGTTCATTACAAATAAAGGCAGGTATCTGCAAGAAAGGGAAAACTTTCCAGTGGGAGCAGGCAGAGGCAAAAAAAAAGTACCGCAAACATGAAGCCGACCAGACAGAAAAAGCCTGCTGATGCATTAAGGGATTGTAGGAGGTGGATTCCCCTGCAAAGGTGCCTGAGATGCATGCCAGAAACAGTTGTAAGACTGATGGGGACAGAAGGACAGAACAAGCTACAGCAACCCTGATCATCTGTTGGGTGCCCCATGGGATGTTCCGCCAACAGCCCGCATTGAGCATGATCACATAACATGCTAATACACCCTGGCAGTAAGCCACAGGGGGCTCCTTATTGTGCAAACAAGCCACGGTATGCACAGCTGATGATCAGACTCACCTTGGGTTATTTGCTTTCTCCCTCCTTGCAGGACCAAATTGTCTCCTTCCTCCACTGTGATTACAAGCCAGTTTTCTTATCCACCTGGCCATGACAATCATGATGATTTCTGCAGCCACATACCTTTCTTACTTGTGGGCTGTGTTTTAAAAAAATCTAATTTGAGAAATGTCTGCCCTTAAAGGTGGCTAGAAATAATCTTGCAGATAGATAACTTTAAAATGAGAGTAGGGAAATGGAGGAGCAATGTGCTTTTCTTGAAACTAGATTTCTCTTCAAGACGAAACTTCAGAATATAAAAGTCAGAAAATGCACTGATTGACCCAAGTCCTAGAATTATTTCAGAAGTATGTAACTTCTTGCAACATCAGTTTGCTAAATTTCAAGTTAGTGTGTATATGTTTCATTTTTAGCTTGTTTGATTTTAACAATTGTGTATGTAAATCTGTGCTTGTTTCTTCATTTCTTTCCTTGCTGCCAGTTGCTGCTTTTTTGGTTTAACTTTAAATGAGTTTAGCCACTGGATCCTAGTATACCAAAAAAGGAAACTTTTTTGGTGCCCTATCTCTCCCCTTTCCAAAAGAAAATATTTCTTATTTCAATATTCAACCTGTGATTGCTATGAAAAGATATCTGTTGGTTTTGATAACTGTGTGTTTAAAGGAGTTATTTAGTATGTTGTTTATTCACCTCTTCCAAGTGTTTGGAGCAGGTTTCTTGTCCTTTGCCTGAATCCTGTGGAATATATTTTGGAAGTGCTGCAGAAAAAATGGGAAATCGCTGGATCTTACCTTCTGTTTGGTTCTGCTGGATTGAAAGCAGCTCAGCAGAGTTACACCAATTAGATACAACCCCTTGTGTTTTCAGTCTTGTCTTTTATTAGATAGGCTCTCCACTGCAATAATCGTTCCAGCCACTTTATTTAACATCTTCTGGGCAAAACAAATACTTGCTCAGTATCAGACGTGTTCAAACAATGTGCTGTTGTCTTGAGTGGTGCTATTAAGATTTCAATTCTTACTGGAATTCCATTTGCACTTCTTGGTACAATATGGATTGGGGAGTGGTTAATTGATGTCACTGCTTCTATTAGTTCAATACACACTTCCTATTTTACTTAGAGGATATTGTAATTTGTTTTATTCCAGTTCCAACAGTATTGAAGAATCCCTTAATTTGGGGAAGCTTGCATGGCAGTAGGTCCTTTAAGAGTGTCAAGTTTTGGTGATGTTGCTTAGTGTTGCCCTGTATCAGATAGTGGGCTAATTTTAATCTGCAGAGAAGTTTATTTGATCGCACTTTAATTAACTGATTAATCCTGGCAGGCTTAGAAAAATGGTTCTAAAGAAAAAGATATGTAATACATGGCAACTGATTGATGTTCATAGCAAGTTTATTTCATAAAACATATTATTTCTTTATTTCTAGTTAATAGTAAGGAGTTCCTTGCACAGGATGAAAGTAAAATCCCAGTAGATGAAGTATTTTTCCACAGGTAAGGAAATAGAACTTTTGCATATCCAGTGCCCTTAACTTTTCTTCATATGTGGAGGGTTCCTTCTTGGGGATCTTTATTGCTGCTACAATTTTCATTTGTGAAAGTGTTGTTGCAAATCACTGCTAAACATTATAGAAACATAGAAACTGGGCAAGTCAGAGGGGGTCTCTCGGGCCATCTAGTCTCACCCCCGGCTCCAGCCGGCTCCACTCCTGACATGCCTACCATAGAATAGGTAATATAGAATAATAATGATAGAAGAGGGATATCGCTGCTGGGGGAAAAGTCAAGTTACTCCTCTCACTAAGAGTTTTTAAGACATCTAGACAACAGGCCATGCATCACAGTAAACCAGTAGGGGACTTCCCCAAACAACTGTGCCATTTTGAATCAGGTCGCCTCTGTTTGGCTGTTGTTCACATTCGTAGCCGTGATGGGATGCACTGGCTTGTCACTCCTGAATGTTTTGTCCTGAAGAAGCATACACACATGAATATATGGGAAAGTCTCATTGCAAAAAAGCTTGCTAGAGAATTGGGAACAGTGACTTACGCCCAAGTATATCTGACTCACAGTAGTCCTTCCTCTGTAGCCTTTTGCTTGTAGGAACACTTTGTCAAAATGGTTGCAAAATCGTTGGCCTGTTTGTACAGGCATTGTGCAAAACACTGGGGGCATGGAAAGTTTCAGTGAAGAGATCACTGCAACTATTAGAAAGCAAACTGAATACAATTTATAGTATCGCTAATAGTGCAACATTAGCACTTCAGAGCAGTGTAAGTGTTTACATTAGTGCTTTTACCATGGGGAAGGATTTTTTTTCCTTCAGAGTGTTACAATAACTGGAAGGGATGCCTTCACAGCTGGCCTGAAGGAAAGACTTTGTGTCAGCAAATCAAGTGTAGGCTGCAGTGCATTGAAATTGATGTGATCAGTGTGATCGGGTTTGCAATGCAGATGTTGCAGTGTGACAGTAAGCCAGAAGTCTTTGGGACCTAGCACTAAATCTGGCACTCTGCAGTTCCCCAGAAGGTGGTGGCCTCTTGCCCTGCCACCCTTCATTTTTCCCTATGCACCCACATTTGGTGGTTTCCTTGCATTTATGGTGTTTTTCTTCGTTATGAAAGGCTGAACTGCTTCATCTAAGACTGGCAGTAATGGCATTAAGCCACAATATGCTGGTATTTTTGGTACTTTGCCTCTGCCCCAATTGTCTTCAGTCTGACCAACCACTGGAATGCCCCACCACTACATGAACTTTTCCAAAAACCTCAAGCAGAGCTGAACATCAGTCTCCCAAAAAATGTAGGAAGAAACTTCGAATGAGAAGCTTTGAATGATTGGGGGGGGGGGGGGGGATGATATCACTCTACAAGTACCTGAAAGGCTGTCACAAAGAGGAAGGTCAAGATCTCTTCTTGCTGATACCAGAGTGTAGGACATGGAATAATCAAAACAAGTTGCGAAAACCCAGATTCTGGCTAGGTATCAGTAAAACTTTCCTCATTGTCAGACCAGTACGACAGTAGAACCAGTTGCCTAGAGAGGTCGTGGGCTCGCCTACATTAGAGACATTCAAGGTGAAAATGGACCATCTTCTGAGTAGGAGGGTGTAAAATGGTGTCCTGCAACAGCAGGGGGTAGGACCCAGTGGCCTTTGTGGCCCCTTCCAGCTCCACTGTTCTATGAGTTCTATGATGCTGTGAAAATAGAATTTGACCCTTCAGTTGAAAGGAGTTCCTCCTGTAATAAAACAATATAACATTTCTTGGTATTTAAACACCTAAAATTTACTGAATATGCTATTGTTTAACAAATGAGTGTGCCCTAATGTGAATAAACTTTGTGTGAATGTAAACTTTTAATCTTAAGGTTTTATAAGAAGTTAGATGTGGAGAAAAAGAAACTGAAACCAGTGGAAGATGATGAAAGTGTTGAAGATGTAGATGATGATGAATTCGAAAGAGCATTAGGTAAGGCTATCCACCTTGTCCACTTTTTCACCCCAATCAGCCCATAATGCTTCCTTTCAAAATGGGAGTAGTTCTTTGACAGTACATGTAAGTCTGATCAAGAGATGAAACTCAAGGACTTCAGTGAAGTCCAGCTTAAAGATGTGGATGAAACCTACTGTTGTGTAAGCAGACTTCTGTTCACATAGTGGAACTTTATCTATCTTTTACCTGTAGGTCTTCACTAAAGTCTGTTTTGGAGGGTGCCCAACCCTCAGATTTAAAGAGCACACAAGGGGGAGGAAGAATAATTCTGTTGATAGAAGCCATTCTGTCAGCAGAATGACTTAACTGGATACTACCCTATATGTGTTGAGTTGACTGCACTGTCATCTAGTTACACAGTTGGGTGTATTTGGTGCTTGAGTAGGGAAATGCCAAATTCCACATCCACAAGACTATAAAGTAAGAATTATTCCTAGTAAGTTTGATTGTTTCAAGAATGTAGGGAACTTGGTGCAAGGTATACTAAATTGTAACTTGATTGTTTTTTCACTGAAATGACAATGTTTTAACTTAATTGTGATAATGCAAAATCAAACTGATGTGCCCACCTTTTTTTCAGACTCAATAGAACAAGATAATTATTTTGAACCAGTTATCAAGGATGACCTTAATTTTGCTGGGTAAGTTTTTTAAGGGAAAGAAGCACACTTGAACTGCAGAGGTGCATGTGTTGTATCTGTTAGTATATGGCACATTATGTCTCAAGGCTCTCTAAACTTGTGCTTTCTTCAAGAAAGCAAGTTTCAGTTAAATATCACTAAATGGATTACCTCTTCCTTCTTGAAAGATGGCTACATTAATGGTGTGATTATTCAATTAAATTATTATTTAGAAATGTAATTTCTTTTAAAAATGTGTCCAGACATCATGTTCTCAAGGGATAATCTTATGCAGGATTAGACAGAAAAAAGGCCAACTATGTGCATGCCTTATGCATGTTTGGACAGGAAAACCTTCTGAAATTTTCAGAGTTAGCAGGGGCTTGCTAGGACTTAGAGGACTTCTTTTCTCCCCAGACTTGCATAGGATTGTACTATTAGCTGCTGTCCAGTTTTTGGATAAATAAGATTTTTGGATGTGAGGTAACTGTAGGCAACTTGGAAAGGTAGAGCAAAGTCTTCCCAGTTTTTTGTTTATATTGAGATGATTTTTTCTATGATTTCTGCCCCAGTCTGCTTAAATGCAGGAGACTTTTTCTTTCATATTTTGCTGTGACTGTTTTGGAGGTGGAAAGAAAACACTTGTTTTCACAAATATTTGGTATCTACATCATTTCGTATGGGATAGGACAATCTAATGTGTGAATAGGTCTGAGCTAACTCCTCCTGAAGCTTTAATTTCCATTATCAGTAATGTGAATTAGAATTCTTATTTAACCTTCACTTTGCATCAAGAAAAATGGTAATCTTGACCCCAGACAAAGTGCCCCAGGGAAGGCAAATGCACCATAGGAAAAGGCCTTTGTCCAGCTGAATGTTTTCCCCCAGGAAGTTTGAATCAGCATAAGAATGGCTTTCAGGTTTCAGCCAGTACAGGTAATTTAGGACTTAATCTCACAATCTGCATTACAATACTTGGCTTATTGACCTTTGATCTGCTTAACAATAGTTTGATCTAGTACTTTAAGTTAGCATAAAAAGTTTTCCCTTGTTCATGCTGATTTTAATTCTATTTGCTGCAGGTTGTAATTAACACACATTGCTATGAAAGGAGACTAAGATGACCTATAGTTAATGTATAAGTATGCATTGGATCGGTTAAAAAAAATTCCCTTTACTGCAGGAATTGTAAGGAGTACAGACTAAATCAAATGCTATTGCAATGGTAACCTTTTTTGATAAATGAATTTCAGTGTGTTCCCTGTTTACATCTAATGAGTCTTGAAATATTTTAATGTTTAATGAAGGAAGCTTATTGGAATAAAGCTAAAAACAATCAGCTAAGAGATCTCCACTTGTGATCTCTCACAATCACTTTGGATCATCACGGGGTGCTGCTTGTGTGTCTGACCTTGGGGTTTTTCCTTGATCCACCCAGAAAAGCCCCATACATCAACCCTCCAATTTGCTCTTCCTAGGTTTGGGTGTTTTACTCTTCATGAAGAGATTGATCATATCGTGGGCATGTTCATTTTAGTGCACTTATACAAGAACAGAAAGATAATAGTCAGTAGATATAATATTTATGCTAGTCAAGAAAACAAATTAGATACCTGTTGTGAATTTTATTTATTTATTAATTACACTTGTATGCCACACCCTATATCTTGAGGGCTTTCTGGGCAGCTCACAGAACAGAGAGTTTTAATATGAAGTGATAATGAAATATGTATTTGGTCTTTTATTTGAGGGATTCAGAGCATCCATTTTCTCTGCACAACAATTCTGTGAGATAATTTAGATTGAGTTTGTGGTACTGACCCACGATCACCTAATCAGCTTCAGGATTGTGATGAATGAAACCTGAGTCATCCTGGTTCTGTTACCACACTTGAGTCATGCTGGTCAATGACCTTTGCCACTTATCTCCAAATATGTTTGTTTGTTTATATTTTATTTTATTGAAGATATTTGCAGTTACAGCTCATTGCCAGTGGGAGCTATTTTGCTGGTGCTAGTTTTGCCCTGACTACAATTTTTCTTCTCTGTCCCTTCCTTGCTAATGTATAATACCATATGGAAATTTGGCATTTTTGAAATATTGACAATATCTGTTTGACCATCATGCCAACCTTAAGCCATTCCCCAGCTGGATGATCTAGCTTTGAAATCAGGAGGGACCACAGTGGAAGAACAGAGAGATGAACAATTACAAGTATCAGTCAGCTTGTTCACCGCCAAATAACGACTTACATACCTGCTTCTATGAACCATGTGTCTGTGCAACTCCTAGTTATTGTGAAGGGGTGGGGTGAATGTGCCAGGCAGTGTGGAACAGTGGTTAGTGTTGGGCTAGAACTGGGATGTCCTTGGTTCAAATTCTTACTGAGTCATGAAGCTCAATGTGTGTCCTTGAGCCAAGCACAGATTCAGCCTAACTTGCCCAAAAGGGTTGCTGTAGGGATGAAACAGGAAAAAAAGGTCGAACGTAAACTGAGTATTTCTGAATGCGATAACACTTTTGTGTACTAATATAAAGTTACATGGGCTTGGATTTCACATATGTGAATTAATACCCAGTGTATATCCATTCTCACACTTGCACAATAGTAATAGGCAGAGGATCTTCAGTGGTAAAAAGAGCCTCATTTTTCTTCTTCCTCCCTTGGCATGTGTGCAGCCAGTGCACCAGGTTGACCTGTACGGCTTCACTGAGCAGAAGGGAAGAGCTAGAGGGATATGGAAGCCATGCCCAAATCCCCTTTGCCTAATTCCCTGGACTGCTCTGGTATGCTGCATGCACACACGGTATGCATGTATATGGAGAGAAATGGTGCTCCACTGAGTCTTGTGGCAAACTTCCTTGGCCAGGCAGAGCTTGTATCCCTCCATGTGTAAGTATTGTGCATAGTACTGTAGCTTGCCTATTGGAGTCCTTCAGAATTTCACGCAGAAGATGACAGCCTTTAAAAACAAGCAAGCAAAAGATTTAATTGTGATGTTCAGGTATTGTTGGAAAGATGGATTTCTATTTAAAAGCTGTATTTATTCCAGAAACATACAAAGGAAGGGGAAAGGAAAAGGAAAAGGTCAAAGTGATGAAGCAGAGTGGGAAGATTCTGATGAAGATGATTTTGATGATGAGGAGGTCTCTCTGGGTAGTATGGATGAAGACTTTGGAGAAGACATTGATGAAGAGGGAGGGACATTCATGGATGTGTCTGATGATGATGGTGGTGGTGATAATGCTCCAGGTAAAAGCAAATGCTTCAGAATTACTAAAAGTGCTCACCTTGTTAAAACTGAATTTAAATTCTAAGTAACTAGTTCTTGTAGAGAATATTTACTGTGGGGGTTCATTTGATAATTAATAGGATTTGCTTGGAGAAGGATTTCTAGATAGGATTGGGTACTATGGCAGATAGCTATGAAGAGTTTTAGCAGGGAAGAACTTGGCTAAGAACTTATGTGGCATGTTAAAGCTACAAAAGCAATGCAGAAGTTAGCTCGGTTAAACAAGAACTTGAAATTTAGTCAATATACCTTTGCCAGTCATATGCTAAAGCACTTGTGGAAGTGAAGCATCGCCAGCAACAATACAGAAGGGAGATAGAAAGAAAGGAAATTGGGATTCCTGCCGTGGGGTTCTTTGTGGAGGCAAATTCATCCGTAATTAGAAATGGCTTCCTAGCTGAGTTCTGGCGTTGTGGGCTGGAGTAAAGTGTAGGGAACTTGACCGGGGTACAGAATTCTGCAGAAAACTATTTTTGAGCAGAGCTTCTGCACAAAGATAGGGCAAGCTCATGAATGGATTTTTCTGGAAAAACTGTGCTTTGTGTGCATTATGTAGACAGAGCAGGTAGAGATGAGTTTTCTAAGAAAGGTGCTGGGCTTAGGCCTGTATAGCAGTCCTTTTATACATCCTGTGAACTTGTATCCTTAGTTATTAAAATGAGTGGTAGGATGCATATCTTCAACAGGAAAATGCATGTGCACAGGAACATTTCCTTTCATATACTAAAGAGTTAGGTTTGGTCCTGGAAATACATTCCAGGGCTCTTCCCCAAATGAAACCTTAGACAGGGTACCATCTCCTCTCTGGCTTGCCCTTCTTGATGTAAGTTGCTAGGCAGAGTCCTATGGGGGAGATTGTTGCTTGCAAGACTGACACATGGTGGTAGCGAGCCAGAAAGTTGGACTGAATGCAAATATCTCCCACAGGAAAATGCATACTGCACTGTTGGTATCAACAGACTGGCGTTAGACACATTCTAGAGAACTGGAGTTAGGAGAAATACCTGAGGGAGGGAGGAAGGATGAATCGGACACCTTGATCTGGTTGCATGGTCCAAGTAAGCCCCTAAATCTTACCTGAACTGCAACATGTATGGGATGTGATTTCAATACACATCAATCATGGGCTATTTTCTCCTCCAATAAGCCATCCTGCTTGGGTTTGGACGATAAGCTGCATTCAGGTGGTGATTATTCAAATTTCACCTGGCATGTACCAGATCTTGGCTTAAATATTAATTTTGTACATAGATCAATTTATAAAATATCATGGAGATGCTAGTTTTAAGCAGTGGGCTGGTTTACACAATAATAAGTGATCCTGCATCACATTCATGTCCTTAATGCATCTATTGAACATAATTAAAGTGACAGTAATTCTGGTAATACTCAGTGATAGAAACTTCACAGGCACAACAAAAACAGTGGAAGAAACTTTAAGGTTCCATTGCAAATTCATTAATCAAAGTGAAATTACCCAATAGGCTTATGAAATCTGTAAATAGGAACTGAGAAGATCTCATTTTTTCCAAGCTTCAGTAATATTTTCTGTGTGAAAGATGCATGAATCCTCACATGGACAATCTTTAGTTTTGTTATATGCTTGAAATAAATGTTTTAATAACTTTCCATTTTGATAACAGATGAAATCAAAGAGCCTCTGGTCAGTAAGAGAAGCAAACGAAAAAAAGAAATAGACTTTGCTGGATCGATTCAAGGTAACTTTTACATTGCTAGGCTAGATGAATTTGGAGCTTGAGAAGTCTGTGAAGTAACAGATGGCTTTTAAGAGAGGGATCTCTCTTTGCAAGGCTAGGTAGATATAAAGGATGGTATTCATTTAATCCCCTCTGGCATTTTATTTCAGTAAGTGCTAGAAAATGGCTTTCAGTGCCATTTTCTTGGTTGAAAGGTGGGATACACATCAGATTAATCAAATTCAATAAAGCAATCTGTACTTCAGCTTGGAAACAAAGAACTTGAGTGAAAAATTGACCAGTGTATAGTTTTGGTTATGGTTGGAGTTTTTTTTGCAACCAGTATTTGTTTATAATGGGAGGTGGGGGAGAAATACTCTGACCTCTAGACCACAGAGTGGCCACAGAATGTTTAGTTTTCCTGTCTGAGATCAGAGACAGAGCTCCAATCTCGGAGCAAGAATCTAGAGTTTCAGTTCCTGTCTTCTTTCCAGCTGGCCTGGAGATAAATGCTCACCTGCTCACTAAGGTCAGGAACTTGACCTTGGAGAAGAGGTAATTCACTAGTTTGAGGGAGAAGGGGCCTGGAAGAGCTGGAGGCTCTGGAATGCCCTGACTACATGGGCAAACAAGCATGTCTGTGAAAAAACTGGGTGGGAGAAAATGAGTAAATTGCTCCCATTCCTCCTGTCCTGTATAAGACACTCATAACTTAAATGAGTATTGCCAGAATGCATCTGTACATAAGTTTCTAAAGAACTTAATTGTAAAACTACTGAACTACAGTGGTACCTCGGCTCACAAATGCCTCAGTTCACGACCAAATCGGGTCGCAAACAGAAATTTCATAAAAATTTTGCTGCAGGTCACGAACTCTGCATTGGGTGCCATTTGTGAGCATGCCTGCCTTCCCGGCACACTCGCGGTCGTGCTGGAGGGGGTGAGATGACTGCGATTGTGCCCGTGTTCCCTACCCGAGTGCCCCTGTGCCCGCCTCCCTTCCCAGCGCGTTTGCGATCGCGCCCGTCTCCCCCCACCCCCTGCACAATCTCGGGTGGGGGGAGATGGTCGCAATCTGTGTTGTTCTTTGTCACTTTGCTTCAAATTTTTGTGAGTTTAAAAAATAGTTGCAGAATGGATTAACCTTATTTACATTGACCCTTATGGGGAAATTTGACTTGGCTCACAACCAATTTGGGTCACGACCAGAGTCCTGGAATGGATTAAGTTCACAAGCCAAGGTACCACTGTACTAAGTAGCCAATTAATAAAATTAGTTTCTTTGCAGTACTAAGGGGAGCTGGCTGATATAGCACCAATTTGTTTTGTTTTTCAAAACTGAAGGAAGAATGTTGTCCAGAAAGTTGGTGGAAAGTAAATTATAAAGATTAGAATCTGAAAATGGGGTAACTTGTTGTAGACATAACCACAGCTGAGACACTGAACTGTGCCTGCAAGTACTATTTGTTCCTTTTCCAATTTGTACATTTTTCTTTCATCTGCTCCAGTCTTCCCCACTACTCGTTACTTTATGAGTGCTAACAAAGGGTAGGGCAGTGTTTGCACAGTTTTCTTATTTATCTAAAAAACAGTGGCTGATAATGTTTTTGCTTAAAGGGTCAAAGGAAAACAAAAGAAAACGCAAAGATGCTGGCATGCTTGCTGCTGCAGAGGAAGTAGGTATTAAGTTTTATCCCTATTGAAATGCGTTTGGTCTGGAATTCCAAGTACTCATCTTCTTTTTTCTTTTGAAGTTTGGTTACCTACTGGATGAAAATATTGGATCCAAATTTGACAGTATTGGAATGAATGCGATGGCTAACAAAGATAATGCAAGTAAGTGATTTTCCATGATACAACTCGCAAATATATTTACCTCTGTTCCTTAACTGTACTGGTAGCAAACTTAATGAACTTTTATCAGCATTTTTCATTTCATTTGATTTGGAACTTTTTCAACTAAGTCATGCCAATTAACACAGCACATAACTGAGGGTCAATTCAGAGATGTTGCTTGGTGACCTTCTGAAGTACTTCTGACCCTTGTGCAAGAGAACCAGCTAGCCATGTAGATTTTCTCATGAGTATTCTAGATTCCTTATTTGGAGACCACATTCCAGTATAACACTGCCTAGAGCCTGATATTTGAACCTTTCAGAACTAGTTGTGGAATTCATGGTTGTTGGTATTTTAGACCCTTACTTTTTATTTCAAATAGTGTTTCTTCTTTGCTACTTAAAGTAGAGCTGCACACTCACCTATAAAATCTTTTCCTTTTTTTATTACTGCTTCATTTTAGCAAACTTAGCTTAATTTTAGCATGTTATATTTTGGCTTCATCTTGTGGTCTAGGTAATATTTAACTTCCGAGAAACTTTCTGAATATCACAAATTCACAGGTTCTTTAGTACCATATATGACAAATATGTCATTTGTCTTTTTAAGTGAAATATTAGGGTAAATTAGCCTGCAATCTTCTTAAACTAGACAACTCTGTGCTCTTTGGCAGTGTTAATGTTTTAGATAGCCTTTCAAACACATTAGTGAAAGTCAATCTGAGGCACTTCTACTTTCCATCATTGCTGAGTTTGTCACCAGTAATGAAAGTGGATAATACTAGGTACTTAAATATTATTGGAACCTTCAGAGATACAGGCATGGTTAATTCTCTGGTACACACAGCAATGAAATCTATCCTCTTTCTCTCATGTCTCTTTAGGTAACATTTCTTAAGAGGTTGTTGAGCTTTCTGCTTTTAGAGGGGCATGTAAAATGATGTAAAATGGAATTTGATTAACTGCCCAGTTACTACAGCCTCAGAGATTGCGGACTTAAAACAAAGATTTTTTTTTCAGCCTTTTCATGCATCAATGAGTTATGGGTTCAACCCTATACTTAACATAGCAAATAAAATGCTTCTTTGGAATAATGGGCAGTGAAAGGGGATGCTGTGTAATCAACTTGCTTTGCCAAAAACTTTTATAGAATTGGACTCAGTCTACCTGAGGGTGGAGTTTTAGGCACAAAGCTCTTCCATGGATTTGAGAGGTGGTTTTCATGACTTTCCTCCTATTACCCACTCAAAAGCTGTTCCAGAAAATAAGGTTGCTTACTTTGAAATGTTTCACATTTTTGAAAAGTGTGAGACCAGGTGGATTGTTGTGGGCTAGGAAGTCTTTTGGGAGAATATATATATGTAAACACACACACACACACACACACACTCTTTGAGAGCAAAAGATGTTAGGAAATTATTCCTGCTTTATTGTGGTCTTTTGAATCTCTGGCTTAGTGTTCTTTGCATCCATATAAAAACTCAGTGCAGAGAATGTCGTTATCCCATTCACTTATTTGTCTTCCTCTGTTAGATTTCAAACAGCTCAGGTGGGAGGCAGAGCGTGACAAATGGATTCACAATAGAGATGAGAAAAGCATCATCAAGCGAAAAAAGAAGTTCAGTCACAAGATGCTGAAAAACAAGAACCGAAGCAAAAAGACAAGAAAATCAATATAAAAGTTTTAATATAAAATATTTAAAAGCTCTTTATACTTACCTTAATTTTTGTTGTTTAACCATGCCTCGTGATCTCTCTCCTTTATCCCGTAAATCCCAGACCACTCATTACATTTGTAATAAACTGTGAAAATAAAAGGAGAGTCTTTTATTGTATTCATGGCTGAACAGTGAATGATGGACTTTCAAAGAGAGTTGTGACTGAACTCTTAATACTGAGAAGGAAGCTGTACCATAACTATTGGAGTTAGATTTTTTTTTACAAAATTGCTTAACAAAAATAATTACATCAACCATAATTAATAGCAATGCATTAGTCAAACATACCTTCCAGGATAGAAGGACATCTCCTGTTCATTTTTTGCCTGAAATCTGAAAATAGAATTGTCAGATGAATCGCAGTGAAAAGTGAATTGCAACCCATTCACTTTTCAATTCAACAGCAATTCAACAAGCTATTTTTTTAATTGTGAAAAATAAATTCTAATTCCAGTTTGTCAGATAGCTGTGCAACCTCTACCTTGAAGCTTGTTCAGTGAGTTACATTGCCTTGAGTCTTACAATATGGTTAGTGGAATGTGGCAGGTGTTACGTTGCAAGCCAAGTTTCACTGAAGACAAGAGAGAACACATGATCCAATGCTTGTCATAATGGGCAGAGCAACAGAAAAAGGCAAGGCTGTCATGTTCGTGCAGTCTTAAGTTTGAAGCTAGAAGCTTTAGAAAAGTAGAAGTCAAACTTCAACCAACTGTTCTGTTGGCTCAGGATACCAGAAGAAGAGGTGGTATAAAATTTCATGCATCATCTGCATTAGGATTTTATGGAGAGATAGCACCTTTGCTTTTGGATGTTCAGATCTCAGCAACATAGTCCACATTTCAATTAAAGAATGTGGCATATTGGGCTGGCAATTATTTAGTTTATCAAATCTATATTAAGGCACAATAGTTAAAGACATTAAAATATCCACTTATATTCTCAGTATCTCAAATTATTCTCAACCTATCCTGAGCAACTTCCAGTTGGGATAAGAAGTGGATAAACTTTTTATTGCAATTGAAATATGCAAGATAAGCATCTAACCCCATCCAGAATTTCCCTGTTCATGTTCCTGGGTTGTTATCATGACATCCAAGTGCAGCATTGGTGTGTTCAATGTTAACCAGAGTTTTAACACAAACAAAGAAGACTGGGTTGCTTAACCCCAAACAACCCAGACTGCTAGTTCAGACAGCATGACACCCACCCACGAACAGGGCACTGCTGAAGCAGAAGGTGAGAATCGGCACTTCTACTCATGCTCCCTAATAACCATACTTTGTTAACCATGAGCTATTTGCATGAACAAGAAAAATGACTGGCAGCTGATAGCAACTCCAGCATTCTAGATTGTAAACCTGGTGTGGTAAGAGTTTTAAAATTCAAACTATTTTGCCTTTTTATGGGAAATGGTCCAAGTACATTCATGGCACGCTATATCAGGAGTTTCACAATGACATTAACAGAGCTTTCCAAGATTGTGATTTCTGTAAAAAATGGACATAGATGCTCAGTATGAACAATGCATACAAGCAGCAAATTCTCAAATTATATATAGCGTCATGCAAACAGATTTAATCTTTAATTAAATTATATATAGCGTCATGCAAACAGATTTAATCTTTAATTAAATTATATATAGCGTCATGCAAACAGATTTAATCACTTGTGACTCTGTATCTGCTGCAGAGGATCTCCCATGTCAGCAGTTGTCCCACTTGTTTGTGGTCAGACGATACAGACAATCCCAATACATCTGTTGCTCAATATCCTCTGAAAGGTTACAGTACATAGTTTGCGGGTGGTGACGGCATGGGGAAGTATTTTCTAGAATGTTCTCTATAATGTTTTACAAATGAAAATACACTGCCTGTTTGTTCTGGTTAGGAAACTTGAGCCATCTCAGTGTATAGTTACCTTGACTTGTATCCATTCTGTAATATAGCCCATATGCGCCCAAAATTCCAAGAACTTCTAGAAACAGAAGTCCTTTGAAGATCTTTTTTCCTGTATGGGAGGTCATTGTACAGCCAATACTATCTTCTAGTGACAGAAAGAAACATTTCACTGGTTATATATTTTCAAGTATCACAGATCAGGAAAAACTAAAGAGTGAAATCCTATGCACTTAGCCAAAAAAACCCTACAACTCTCAGCATCTCCCCACCCTGGAAGTTGTAGGATTTCTTATTGTCTAAACATGCATAGAATGGCACTCTATCTAGTTTGGCAGCATGGGGGCTCAAGTAAGGGAAATGAGGAAATAATGCCAACACAACAGTCCTCTGGGTTATTTAAATTGTACTGAAGTTATACTGAAGCTGCCTGTGGTACACAGAGCCTCCGTTTTAAATACGCAAACCTAACAATGTTTTTGGATTGTATGAGACCTGTTAAACCGATGCTTACCAGGTTTGCATGAGACAACAACCTCCAAATGAGGGACGCACATTCAAAGAACAGTATTTTTATTATTATTATTATTATTATTATTATTATTATTATTATTATTATTATTATTATAACATTTCTATGCCGCCCCTTGCCGAAACCTCGGGGCGGCTTACAACACGATAAAATACAGTAGAGTTGGAAGGGGCCATGTTCAAACCACATGTGCCTCATCCTCCCCACCAGCTGTCCTTCAGCAACACGTGGCATGCTGCCTGAACCGGGAAGCTTGTCACGCGTGAGAAAGAGACATCCGTGGCTGAGGACGGGCAAGTACGGGGCCGACACGTGTCCCTGTGCGCAGGACTCGTGCAACCTCCTCTTTGGGAGTCATTGCCACTGAAGTGCCGGCAGGGCTCACGGCGAACCCGCGCACGCTCCAGAAAACGCCTCGGCTCAAGGGGTGCAGCCGCGCCGGCTTCGTGGGAGACTCGAGGCCGCCGACGGAATAGCATAGGCGGGGGCTTCATCGTCACAGAACGCCCCGTTCTCCCCACGAAACTGCCATTGGCCTGTTCCCCACTGACCACGCCTCCCCCGCGAATTAACCCTTTCCTTCCGACCGCAGAAGGCCCGCAAGAGCTTTCATTTTTCCTCGAGGCCGAAATGGGCGCATCCGAACCTGTGCTGTGGATCCAGCTCCCAAAGATGCGGGGAGCCCAAACCCTTGACGGACCTCCACCGTTCCTGCCTTGCGCCAAACTTACGAGTCGCACATGCGCGGTAGCGGCCTTAGGACAACTCTCTCTCTCTCTCTCTCTCTCTCTCTCTCTCTCTCTCTCTCTCTCTCTCTCTCTTTACACTTTCACGGTCACATGCGCCGCGCTCGCTTGGTTGCCACTTCCGGGGAGGGCGCGTGCGCCGACGCAGTTTGCGCCTTCGTCCTGCAGCGGTGCAGTGTTGCCCGCGCAGCTTCGCCCCGTGCTCCTGAAGGGAGCGTGCCCTTTGGTGGCGCCGCTGCGCAAGGCGGCTCGCTGTGTCTCCGCAGACGGGTGGGATAGCTTCGTCCCGCCCGTTGTCTTGAAGCAGCAAGTCTGTATGCCGAAGGCTGTTGAGGAAATAAAGGTTACGGAAGGCATTAGGCCTACAAGCTTCTAGCATGTCCCTCCCATTTGTGGACCTTCCCCTCCCGTCTGAACATGCGTAGGATCGCGCCCTGAATTCAGTTGTGAGCTGCAGTCTTTCACACTTTTACACGGAAAAAGTACACGGTCTGCGGAGCCTGTTTCCATGTACAGGAATGATCGGGTTGTGGAGGTCCATTGGAATAAGATGCAAAGCTCTGCTTTTCCCTTGCTTTTAGTGTAACTCATAACGAGGTAGAGAGGGCTTATGAAGTTGCTTAATTCTAACTGTTGGCATTCTAAGATAGCCATCGAAATCGCATTATTTAAGGCTACTTACCTTACACTTACTTTGGGATAAGTCTCACTGAACAAAATGAGACTTGATTTACAGCTGTCAATTTATTTACTATTTTGTAGTTAATAATAGGGTAGCTTAATTTAAACAAGAAAAAATGTTGATTTAAGTCACTGTCTTACATCTAGTTACCCATGGAAACATTTGGCAGATGTTTTCTGAATAGTGCAAATCTGATCACTAAGCCATGTTAATTTATAGCTAAATAAAATATATTATTCTTTTATGGAGGATTACTACCTCTTGATGTGCTATCCTATGCCTTTTCAGATATAAAAAAGAACTGGATTTCTCAGCATGACCCAGAAAGACAACATTTGAAAGGCAGTTCTGAGTGACAAGGAAACATTTGTGGCTAACTTAGCATACATTGTATCTCACAGAAACAAGACTTAGTTCAACAAAAGATGTCACTTTGCATATTTTGTATTTCTTATTCTCTATAATTGACATATCCTGGCACAGCTTTTCACCATCCAACTTGATGGCTATCCAAAATGAGGTTAGGTCTGATCCAGAATGATACCAGGACACTTAATAACCTGAGATCTTGTTGCAGATATAATTTTGGCTCTGCACCTTCTATTCTATAGAAAAGAGACATTACAAAAACCTCCATGTTTACAAGCAGTATGTACCTCTTGAATGTTGGATGCTAAGAACATCATGGCTGTGGTCACAGTATATGGGTGGGTTATGCTGGAAAAGTATGTGACTAGATCAGCCCTTGCTGCAATCTATCTAGTAAGGCAATTTTGTGTAAACCCTGGAGTTAGAATAATAGAACTGCACGTGGAAAAGAATTATAGTCCTGTCTTGACCACAAAAGCAGGGGAGCGTCTGAGGTATATTAGTGGCTCTCCGCTTAAGTTAATTACTATAATTTAATAATGACTTCCCTCACAGGATGGTTGTGAGGAAGAATCAGAAGTTTGTTTATTTTAATTATGGTCACAGACCAGCCAATTAAAATAAGTAGCAAAATAGAAAATCAACTCTCAAATACAAAAAAAGTTAAAAATCACAGTATACATTAACAGCCAAATCAGTCAAAGCTAACTTCAATGACAATCTATTAGTATCAGCTAGTATTACAGTTTAACCATCTGATTCCTGATACAGCATACTTGAACACAGAATTTTGCCACCTTGAGATTAGAAGAAAGGTGGGCAGAAGAACATATTGGTCCTACCTGGGAATTTTGTTAGCACTGAGGCCATGAAATAGTGACAAATGGCCTCATAATATCAATAGTATAATAAAACATGTTTGTTTTGACTATGCCAGTTTGGCAAGGTCAGCAGTGTTGACAGCAAGGAGTTCAGTGGTATCTCCAAAAGAGTTGATGACAGAACATTAAAACGAGCCAAGTTACATATTGGCCCTAGGATATTTAGGAATTTGAAGATATTCAGTCTGCAGAAGCAAAGTTTTTATTATGATTACCAGCTGTTGGATAGTGCTGAACCCTTGCTTGGGCCCCTGTAGAGTGAAATCCCAGACCTGTTGCTTGATCATATCTTTAGGTCTGGAAAATCTCTAAGGTAACAGAGCTGGAGAAAAATCAGAAGTGAACCATCAAGCCCTTTGATGGTGAAAATGTTATGTAATACATAAGCCCAGATCATGACATGAGAAACTCAGTTCCCGTTAATGTTATGTAAGTTTAAATGTGATAATTTATCTGGTATGCCTACCGAGTGATCTAGTACTTATATCAGTTTTACTTTGCAAATGCAGCCAGGTTGCTTGGCTTCATTAGGGATTAGCTGTAATGTTTAAACAGTGTAGAAGAGGGAAGAAACAAGGAAGCTTATCTAACCATGAAATATAAAATACAAAAGGATAAGCACAATGCGGAAAATGACTCCGCTTTTCAGACTACCCTTTATAAAGGTGTTTGCTCTCCTTACAATGCCTCAGTTGCCCACAACAGAGAAGGCAATCATGTCTGACAGAACATTTGTAGAAGAAATAGAGAAAGCACTGGAAAAATCCAAAGGCCTGAATCTCAGTGAACTTCTGTTTTCCTATCAGGGGACTCTCTACCCGTCCACTGTATGCAGCACAGAAATGTTCCAAGCCCTGGAGAAGTTTGAAAGCAGAAAAGATGACTTGGTGTTGGTGTCCTATCCCAAATGTGGTGAATACAGTTTAAAATGTTTTTATTGCAGGAATGATGCCATGAGCAAAATAGCAAAGTCATGTTTTTAAATGCTGTATAAGTGTACTACCTGTGACTCTTGGTCCTACAACTTCCTGCAGCCTCAGCTAGTATAGCCCGTGGGCAGGGGTGATAGGAATCGTAGGCTAAAGCATCTGGAGGCCACAATTTGCCCACCATGGTAGAAGTGGAGGTAGTATGTATTATGGCTGAGATAAGTGTGCAGAATTGTTGCTATTTAAATGGCTTCCAGGAGGGTGGCAAGAAGCCTTTGGCACTCCAGATGACATTGAAGTCTAAGTCTCATTGGTTCTGAACAGTATGGTGAACTGTCAGGGATGATGGAAACTGTAGTTCAGCAACATCTAGAGAGTCCAAGGTTCCCTGGCTATGCCTTACAGAAAGATAATGCCAGGCAACTGAAAAACTACCTCTTCAGCAATTACTACAGTTAAATAGCATTTACTTAGCAGCTGCATTGTGCAAGCTATTGAAAGAGGAAATGCTTGGGAAAAGGTTTTAATAATAAATAAAGCATTGTGTTGAAGTTTAAAGTGCTATGAGCAGGCCTTGTTCTGTCCTACTTTGGAACTTGGAAGACAAATTCCTTGTTGCCAGAGGAAATTGCCATGCTGGTGATGTCCCATGTGATGGCCAACTTAGCTTTTGCCCTTACTACCTCAGGGCAAGTGTTTTCTTAAAGTACTTCACCTAAAAGGGCACTCTGTTATTTTTAAGGAACTGTCAGACTGACTTTAAAGTGCACCAATCCAAAGAAAGAATGGTTTGGTTTGCACAATTCTACCACTCCATTCTACTTCTACCACTTTGCTGTTGGAGTGATGTTTGGGCCCGGGCATTCTTTTCTTGTCTTTCCTCTCTTGGTAGGCTTCAGTTTTCAACCTTCCTTTCTTGTTGGTGCTAATTATTTTTTGTCGATATGTCTGAAGGGTAAACCTGAGCTATGGTTGGCCAACAAAGCAGAACAGAAACTCATCACTTGAAGTGGAATTTCAGTTCTGGTTCAGAGGGTAATTATAGTTTGTGGCAACCATGGTTTGTCTGATTTAGACATCAGCAAATTACAGTTACTATGAGCCAGGGTGTGATGGAGGGAATCAGAGCACATGAGCGAAGAATGGGGGGAGGAGGGGCAGGCTTGCTATATATGTAGTCTGTCACCTTTGAGCTGAGCCAATATTATTGCATGCTGTACTGGTATCTTCGCCCTCTAAAAATAGTTATTTCCTTTCAGCTCCTTGTGACTGTCTCACCCTCAGCTTCATTCTTGTGTAGGTTACTTTGTAAAGTGATGAAATAAGTCTATGAGTAATTACAGCTTTTTGGGACAGATAGTCAAATTGTTGCTGTTAGTTGCGAAGTCGTGTCCGACCCATCGCGACTCCATGGACAACATTCCTCCAGGCTTTCCTGTCCTCCGTCATCCCCTGGAGTCCACTTAAGCTCACAGCAACTGCTTCAGTGACTCCATCTAGCCACCAACTCTGCCGTCCCCTTCTTCTTTTGCCATCTATTGTTCCCAGCATTAGATAGTCAAATATTGTGGCTATATTTAAAAAGTGATCATGTACTAGGATAAAATGTTTTACTGATTCAAAAACTCTTAAAGAATTTTTGTAGAGCTGGAACTTTTTACACTTGGTTATTTGGTTTGGTTATAAATTTGATAGTCTAAATTGAAATTTCAGACTGTCATTACAACAGCTCCAAAATTATATTGTAAAAATATAATTGTAAATTTGTAAAATATAATTTTACAATATAATTGTAAATATAATTGAAAGGGCCGAGGTAAGCATAACTATGGTAAAATACAAGGAAGTAAGTTGGATTTGTTTTTGTCTTTGTAGATACTGTTGGACTTGAACCCTAATCCTCTCACTTGCATGGCAAGGCAGGATACTGAATGAATGAATGAATGCTTTTTCTTATATAAAATTATATTACAAAAAGTGGCTTTGAGCATATGCAGCTTGCCTTATTTTAACATAGAATTAAAGGAGTGGGTTTCCTTGGAGGTCTAATTCATACGCCCTTCTCACTGATTGAATATATTTTGCTTCCCTGCCCCTTATCAGCATTTTGGGGACACAGCAGGGTTTTATTTTGGTGGTGTGTCTCTGTGTTTAATATTTTAGCTTATGGCAATATGTCTATCGTAATTTAAAATAGTCACTATACTGTACTTGTTCATTGCTGTTGCTAACTATGAGGGGAAAAGAGCAATTGCCTTTTTGGTTTTCTGGTCATTTACAGCACAATCCTATACATGTCTACTCAGAAGTAAGCCTCAGTGAATTCAGTGGGGCTTGCGCTCAGATACATGTGTGAAGGATTGCAGCCGTAAGGTATTTTTCAGTCATAGAACTGTTGGTGTCCGCCGTTGTTAAAGCCAGACTTGGCTTGCAGAACAAATACACTTGGCTTGCAGAACAAATACAAAGGTCCAGCAATTCCTTTTGAATGTGGGAACTTCTGTACTGAAACAGAACTTCTGTGCTAGCAAAAGCTTCTCCATCCACCCTACCCCTTTCATGTCAGTGTTTCAACTGCATTGCATGGGCAGCCCCTCACATCTGTGGAGCTATCTTTCCTGAGCTAGGTAATTTTGCTTTCAAGAGCAAAATTATCTCTGCTTAAATTTGCTTTGTTTTAACTGGCTCTGTCCATATATAGTTGATTCAGGTTATCAGTAACTAAGTGCAGCCTTCAATCTATTAAATTTAAATGAAAAGTTTCAGTTTAACTTGGTTAGAATTTCCAGCTTGCCATATCCAGACATGCATTATTTGGCATCAGTTGAGCTAATGAAAGGTTCCGCAAACCATATGAGCTACTGAAGATTTTTCTTATTTGTTTCAGGTATCAATTGGCTCATTCTGATTGTGAATGATCTGATTGCCACAACTTTGAAAACTAAGCAGGAGAATGCAGAATTACCATTCATTGAGTGTGGAGATCCGGATAAGTTTCAGGTTAGTAAGCCATGAAGTGCAGCCTCCCAAATCAAATACTTCAGTTACAGATACACGGTAGTAATTGTGTTAGATCCAGATTTAGAGTGGACTTAATTCAATCCATTGAAAGGACCTAGAGCAGCTCTTTTAGGGCAAGCCTGTCCAACCAAGTGGAGCCCACTGGCCACGTCTGGAGGCCTACCAAGTTTTCAGCAATGATCCTCATTTTGCTACTGTTCTGGAATTGCTGAAGTAGGGTGGGGATTAAGCTCTTTAATGAGAAAGGGAGAATTGTGTTTTCAAAGGAGTGAGCTTGTGTTTTGGGGTTCAGAAGTCTCTCAGACCACCACTGCTGTGTATTCTGGTTCTTCCACAAGTTACTTGTCTTTTAAACCTTACAAGCCTGTTTTTCTGTGAAATGAGTTTTGTATCAGGCCACTCCCACTGTGGCAGCCATTTTGTGAAGTGATGCCTGGCATGGGTCCCAGGATACCTTATAATTCCAAATGGGCTGAGGTGCCTGAATGGTTTGTTGACCCCCAGGAACACAGAGCAGCTGTGTTCAGTTTGGTGGGTCATGAACTGTGCATCTCAAAGATATGCCAACTGCCTTTTAATTAGTGTGGCACATTGCATATGTGCGTCAGTAGAGCTCTTCATTGTTGTGTGCATGTGTCTCAAAAGTTACTTTTCTGTTCCTTTGGGGTGGGGGGAAGAGGATGAAACAGTTCCCATCTCCAAGGATTGTGGCCTCACATCTCCATTACAACAATCTTCCCAAGTCTGTCTTCAAAAGTAAAGCCAAGGTAGGTGTTTACTCTGACTAATAACATCTACATCTATCATTTGTTAGCAGATATTTAAAGGAGTGATTTATATTTTAAGGGAACAGGTAGTCAGTGGGAGCCTTGTGTCTTCATTACCACAGTTCTGGCACTGATTTTTGGTGGTGGTACCACACAACAGGTAGGTCAGGGCTAGGCAACACAGTGCTTTCTTTGCCTTTTGGAAGGTCAGTTGTCCTTTGCTACACCTTCTATCACAGCCATTTTGTGGTAATGCTCAGGACAGTTTCTCAAATTGCCAAATGTGCCTTCAGTCATTCTGGAATTCCTTGTAGCACGTATCCATACAGTATGTATATTTTGATTTTTTAGCAGGTAAAATAGAAAAAGAAACCGAGCTCACGCAGTGCCTAATGTTCAAAGAAAATGCAACTAAAAGTACGCCATGGACACAGTGGAGCTCTCAGGCTTTTCAGGGATCATAGCATTGTGGTGACAGAAGGGATAACTTCCCCTGCCCATGATACAGCCTTTCCGGGAGGCAGAGTTAGAGGAGATGGAGTGTCTGAGACAATGCTTTTTGATGGGTCTCATGGAATAAGCATAGCCATTATTTCAACCTGCTGTTCCCTTCTAAAAGAATCACTAGCCTGAAGCTGTATTTTAGGCAGCACAAAGCACATACAGTTGAAAGTATATATTTTGGCAGCATTTTTGTTCATGTGAGGAGGAACTGAAGATGGCTATCCCATTTTTTCACCTCAGGTACTGGTGCTGTTCCGAAATCCTAAAGATGTGGCTGCGTCATTTTTCTATTTTCACAATAATGCTCCAGGCATTCCAAGTTATGATTCCTGGGAGAAGTTTTTTTCGGAATTTATGAATGGGCAAGGTACTCTATTCCACTTGAATAAGTTTGGGAGATTAAATGCCTTGGGAAAAATATATAAGGTTGGGTGAATTAAAGTTCTACTGAGATTATCTAAGGTTTGCTGATGGTGGCACCAGCAGGGGAAGAGTTGCGTTTTGCCAATACCTGCAATTTGAACTAATAACTCTGATGAAAATTGTGTGTCCTTAAATATTAAAGATTTTTTCTCACATGTTTGTTTGAGTTACCTACCCATCTCTTGGAAGTCAATGCAAGGTCCATGTAAATGGGGTTTCTACACCCTTTTCACAGCTAAAAGACTAATACTGTAACACTGAAGAATAAATAGCCACCTGCAATAACAGAGTGGCTGGAAATGTTAAAGAAACTTTCAACTTTTGAATGGGTTGCTCCTGGGCACAATCTACAAATGGAAACATATGTGGATCTTATGGGTGCCTTGTCAAAGCATATGCATAACTATTTTTAATAATGATGGTGTATTCTGTACACGCATACACACATAACATTATCTTTAGAATCCGTGCTAGTGATCTTTTTCTTTTTAAAATGCTATTCAAACAAGGCTGGTGATTCTTTGTTAGTGGGGCTCTTCATCCACTGCAGCTTTTCTTTTAAGCTGTAAAGGTGTTTTGTAGGAGCGATCTGTGTCCATCTCCAAAATACGTTCATGACTGTGAATAGCGTCTATAAAGCTGAAAAGAAAAGCTGCGATGCATGAGAAGCCCCACTGCCACAGGAGTCACCCAGCCTCCTGCATCTGGCCCAGCATGGTGGCACTGACTGGCAGTGGCTCTCTAGGGTTCCCAGAGGACTCTTTCCAAGCTGTACCTGGAGATGCTGGAAACTGAACTCAGGACCTCCTGATCAACAGTCCCTCCCCATTTGCCATTTGAGTGCTGGCAAAACTAGTCTAGCAACGTAAGTGCTAGAAGGTGAAAAATCTGCACCCTCTAATTTTGATTGATAAACTTGAATTGGAAACTGATGATCATGTTTATGAGAGGTGAAAGAGCTCTAAAGGAGATATCACACTCCATGGTGTACTTGCACATATTTCTTGGGTCTCATTGTCACTGCCTGTCAAATCAATGTGGCAGCTTTTTGAAGCAGTATAACGTTCTGCAAAACTTGTCCACTGGGTATGATTGTGGTACAAATGTTTGCATCACACACATTTGTATCGCCTTTAGTGCTTTGTACATCCTCAGGTGTCTCCAACCCCAGCCAAACTAAGAATGTTTGCAAGTTCCTACTTTAAGAGCTGAGCCTATTTGATTGGTGACAAAGCTAGGAAGATGCTCAGTGATTCACCTTAAAAGCACTAGTCATTTTCTTTTTCCTTGTGAGTCTGTGTGGGTTGGATCCAGATGAACCCATACACAAATCAATGGGATGGAAGTTAGTCATGACTATTTAATCTATTTGATTTTAGTGTGTCAACTTTAGGTATAAAGATATTGGCATTCTACCCTGTGACTCCTGTGGATATAAAGCAATACCATCTGAACAGAGAAGTGTTCTAAAAATAGCCTGTCTTTTATGATGAAGAAAAATTTATTTCTCTGGGTGGTTTACAGCAGCACATAAAACACAGTAAGAATGAAATATAAAAATACAGATAACAGTAAAAGCATTATATAAATTATACTGCAAATACTAAAAGCCAGTTTTAAAACCAAATTTAAACAACTACAGTAGCTATCACAAATCAGAACACAAGACTTGTTAGACAGCTGTCAAGACGCCCCATTTATTGCTGATTAAATGCCTTGTCACAGAGGACAGGGTTAATCTTGTGCCAAAAGGATAGTAGAATTGGTGCCAGGTGGGCTTCAGTGGTGGGTTTGTTACTTAATTGGGGGGCCAGTACTGAATTTCAGTACTGAAATTGGGGGGCCATCCTACCAACTGAACTTTCTTAGAGGTAGCAGTTTATTTTATTTATTTATTTTTGGATTTATATCCTGCCTTTTTCCTACAAAGGGCTCAAGGCAGCTTACATCATTCTCCTCCTCCATCTTATCAGTTGGAGGCAGGCTGCAGATCTTGATCATAATATTCAGGTAGATGTGGGTGGCAGGATGTTCCTTCAAGTACTGCCCCAAGCTTTTCAGCCTTCAGTGGTAATAGAGTCATTCTGATACGTTGCCTTGTTCTGATCTGCAGTTGCCTGGGGATCTTATTTTGACCAGGCAGTCACCTGGAACAAGCACATAGATGATGAAAATGTTCTGATTTTGACTTATGAAGAATTAAAAGAGGTAGGTGTATTCATAATTAAAAGCAATGATTATCTTTCTTCATAAAGATAAATGTGTGTTGTCTACTTCCATATATACCTACCCGCACATTAAGATCTGGACAGAAGGTCCTTTTAAAAGAACCATCCCTTAATGAGATAAAATGGATGGTAAATAGAAGAAGGGCCTTCTCAGTGGCTGCCCCTCAACTATGGAACAGGCTCCCCAGAGGACTTTGTCTGGCACCAACCATGTTTTTATTTGTTTCTTTTCTCTGAGTACTTCTTAGAACAATCTTGAACTCATTATTTATTCTGACATCTGTTGTTCTGCTTACTTGGTATAATTGATATTTATTTTTTAACTTTTTACTGTGATTTTAATTGGTTTAATTGTTTTTTTTTTTTTAGTATTTTACTGTAAGCTGCCTTGAGAATCCATCTGGATTAGTGGGTGGCATACAAATTCATAAATAAATAAGGACAAAGAGTGGTGGTTCCAAAGCCATATAGTTTCTGAAAGGCATGGCTAGATCAGGATCCAGGGCTTCATTTGAACCACGTCTTGGTTGTGGTCCAGCTCCTCAGCCTGTTCTGAATGCTGGGCAGCAGCCTGGAGCCTCTGAATGAACATGGAGAAAGGAGAGAATGAAGGGCAAAGGGCCTCTGACTGCAGTGCCATGCATGTTTCTCTCACTATTGAATAATGCCACAAACATGAGCCCATCTACACCCAGAATGAGAGGACAAGGATTTTACCTGTAGCATCCTTGATTGGCATCCAGAGCACATGAGTAAAGCAACTCAGCTGGAGGCAGAGTGAGGGAGTCACAACTAGGGTTGGAATCCCGAATCGTTTATTTGGAGCACTGAATCTCTGGCAGGCCATCTGCCCCACTCCGTGCAATAGGGCCTTGCTGAAGTAAAGATACAGGGGCCCAGGTGGTCCTTGTTGCCGGTGATCCTCATGTCTTTTTGTCCTTTTTGTCTACCAGGTGCCCCTTCCCCTTGAGTCATTCTGGCCAAGTTTTTTTCTGAAATCAAATGCCCTCCTCTGAAATTGATTTTCTGAAATCAAATGTACATACATCCCTTTTTACGAATCGGGCTGGTTCTTAAGAGACAGGGTCCTTTTAAGCTGTGTGAATGCGTGTGCGCACACACTTTAGAAAATATTAATTAGCATATGCAGATTTAAGTATTTTATTTGTCTGGTGGGCTGGAGCCCTGGCTTTATTTTGGTACCTGCACTGTCCCTGATCTTAGTGCCAGTGCTATCCTGTAATTCTGGGTGGAAAGCATTTGGCCCTCCAGATGTTTTATCCTGCAATTCCCATCATTCTTCATGATTGCCTGGGCTAACTAGTCAGCATATTTGGGGGGGGCCATGGGGGGGCCACACGCTGCCCATCTGTGCTATCAAGTCACGAACCATGAAACTCCTAGCTTCTTCTGAATAAACAAGTAATCTGTGGCAGGACTGAGGGGCCTAGAATGGGCAGGTTTATAGAGCTCATGATGGCTGCCCTACCAAAGAAGCAGGAAGAGCAGGCTGTGCTAGTGAAGACAGGCAGTTTTCTCTTTGATGTGCCCCAGCTGTGACACCTGTTAAGTTAGGATGAGTCCCTCCATGATTCCCATTAAGGGAATGAACAGTGGTTGTGTACTTCAATAGGGTGGTCTTTGCCAGGTGTTTGTGTGGGGGAGGGAGCTGAGCATCCAAATGCACATTGGACTCACACCCCACATCTTAATTTAAACCTGCGTTGATTCCTTACCCATCTGAAATGGCACCAGCAGAATTGGGCTAAGGCAAGCAGATTGGTGCTGAGCACTGATTCTGTGTTTTTAATCCAGTACTGCCTGGTTTATTTTACCATGGGAAAAAGATCTCTCTTCTCTGTATTGACCACTTCACGAAATTTCTTGCAGGACCTGGTTGCTGGAGTAAAGAAAATAGCTGAATTCTTTGGGTTTTCAGCTACTGCAGAACAAATCCAGTCTATTGCAAGCAGGGCTACCTTCCAAGCAGTGCGGGACAAATCACAGGAGACGCATGGTGCAGCTGGTCCACTTCTCTTCCGAAAAGGTAAACACTTTTAAAAGAAGACAAGTGGCAAAAGCACACTGTTTTTTCTGTAGCTTGGCTTAGAGTAGTTAATTATGCACAATGGTGGTGTCCCGTGTTTTGCCATGATTACCAGTGGAACCCTAGGCTTGTCTACTCAGAACATGGATTTCACTGCAGGCTTACTCCCAACTAAGGGATGGGCAACCCATGACTTTCTAGATGCTCCCATCAGCCTTAGCAAGCAAAGTCAGTGGGGAGAGATGATGGAAACTTAAGGCCAAAGCACTGGAGCCACCATTTTCCCACCCCTGGTGTCTGGGATTGCAGCCTTACAAAGGGCATTGGACAACCAGTGCAAATGTTAGTGAAGTCACTTGGATTTACACAGGTAAGTCTAACCCACAGGATTGCTTTACTCTTCTTATTTGGGGACTTCACTTTCCATTTTTTCTCAGATTCTGCCCATCTGGATTAGGAGTGCTTGCTAAGGATAGATTTCATGGCCGACATTTTTTGATTAGCTATTGTACTTTTTCATAATTTCTAATAATTGTTTTATAAATGTGAACTTGAAGCCATGCCCCTTTCTCACTCGTGGTTTTTTCATCAGGGCTCAATATGTTTATACTGAGTGGCAACAGGCCCCTTGAATGCTAAACTGGAGTCTTTGCACTCCCTACCTGGAAACATAGGAACTGAACCTGGGATCACTTGTATCCAAAGCAGATGCTCTGCCAGTGAGCTATAGACCTAGGTATTAAAGTCTTTTCATAGGTATTAGGTTGCATTAAGAGGCCTTCTCAGTTGTGCAAGTAACTTTTGTGGTTCTACTAAACAAGAAGTACTGCAAACAAGAAATCAAGAGAGAGAGATCTGGCAGAGAAAGGGGCCTTGTACTTTCATGCCTGTTTTCAACTCCTTCCCTAATTCTTTCACCTAAGCAACTAATTGTACCTTTTTATGCCTAGTTACCATCAAATGGTGGAGCTTGTGTATCATTCTTGACTATCGATGTTTATATTTTTAAGCGTTAAACATCTCCCTTTCTGTCCTCCTTTTCTTGTTTCAGGCGTAGTAGGAGATTGGAAGAGCCTTTTTGATGAAACACAGAGCCAGAAAATGGATGCTAAATTTACGGAGTGTTTAGCAGGAACCAAGCTAGGAGCAAAGTTGAAGTATGATGTATACTGCAAAGCTTGAGAGCTTTTTGTTGGTGAAAAGACCCATTTTCACAAAGCTTTTATTTACTTTCATCTTTTCCAGAAATACGTGAAATCAGAATAAATATTTCTCTTTGGCAAATTGCAGATAAGGTGAAACTCTTCTGTCTCTAGGATTCCTAAAATCTGTTTATATTAACTTGGGTCTTGTCATACTAGAGCACAAAGCAGGTTATAATTCCCAGGAGGCAAAGGCAAGCTTCCATTATGCTGTGTTCAAAGCATCCTTCCCCAATCTGGTGCCCTCCAGATGTTTTAGATTTCAACTCCTATCGATCCCAACCAGCCCAGTGGTCAAGAATTCTGGGAGTTACAGTCCAAAGCATCAGCCTGGATTTAAGGAATAGAAGAAGGTGCCAATGTCAACCTGGAAAACTTGCCTGTCCCATTAAACATTCCAAAGTGGCAATGGAGGATGTAGTTGCCATGTCTGCTTCTCCATGGATTCTGCTGACCCCCTGTTCTCTCCCACCAGCTGTGGAACAAAGCTGGAACACCTGTTTCTGTGGGCAGAGAGGAAGAGTAGAACCATGGAGGAATGTACAGTGGAACTAGTATGCCTCTTTTACTGCTGCCCAGACCTTTTCAAGGGACACTTAGGATGCCAGGGTGATCCTGGAAAATCCTACTTGAGTCATCTGAAGAAAGCCCATATTTTCCCTTATTCTTTCGAGAGGTCGTTGAGGCCCCATTGATGCGGGTGTTCAAAGATAGGCTGGACATGCGCATGGTGTGCATGTCGTGAGTGGAGCTGGCTAGTGCCAGAGGTCAGACTAGATGGCCCGGGAGACCCCTTCTGACTCGTTCTGTTTCTGTGTTTCTTTGTTTCTGGTATAAAGCCCCGAGTGATCGCGGTTTGAGACACTGATGCAACCTTTAGAAAAAGGGATCTCTGGCTGCTGTTGGAGCTTGATTATTAGGTGCTGAGCAATGCAGTGTGAGGCCTGTACCATGTACTAGTGGCTAGTAGCCTTTTTTGGAGTGTGGAGGGGCACGAGTCCTGTGATTTTAACATCTGAGAGAAGTTCAGCAGATAAAGCTTTCCCCCAGTGTGCTGATACAGTGATGGAAAAAAACATCAGGTCATGTTGAAAGCACAGGAGCCTTACCAGAAAAAAGTTGGCAGCCCTACACTGATTCTAAATTAATAACTGGAACAGAATCGATCTGACTCAGGAGTCAGCAGTCTGCCCCTAAGTAAACCCAGTGCTTTTTTTGTAAAAAAAAAAAAAAAAAGGTGCCGGAACTCACATCCCTGCGGCAGTAAGCACACACACCAATCCCAAGCCGAGCAGCAGAGCAGAGCAGCGTCCCAAGCAGCTATCTCTCACTATCAGATAGCAGATAGCAGACACAATAGCAGCCTGCAGGCACTATGTTAATGATGTTAAAATCACTTTGTAAATCCATTGAAAAAAGGTGCTGGTGTGTTCTATAACAAAAAAAGCCCTGAGTAAATCAAACATTAAGGTTAATTTTATCTCCCCCCCATGAACAATTCTGGGGGAATTGTCAGCCTGCTGCTTTGACCTAATAAAGCCTCCCTACATGGGTAGATCACAGAATGCAGTCAAGATCTCTAGGCAAGTGGGATGCTTGCAATGGCTTCTAAGGCCACTTCCTTCCCACAGCAAAGCCTGGGGCTGCACATGGCATGTGGATGGAACATGGAAGAGCAAATAGTAGAAATGAAAATTACTCAGTGATGGCAAATTAGTCTGAAATACACTTATTGAATCAAAATGATTTTTATGAGTTCTCAAAGAACTCTATAGACTTTAAAAACTTACCTTTGTTATCTTACTGTATGAACTATGAACTTCATTTAAATAAACTTTTGTTGTTGTTGTTGTATGTATTATATGGAGAACATTTACTTTTAGTTGCTGGAAGAATGCAAAGGCACTTTGCTGAATTTCAGAGGATTCCTATACCCTTGTCATACTATTCATTCATTTTTATGCCACCCAAAAGACCAAGTTCTCTCAGCAGTTTATAAAGATTAAAAGCTATTATACATTATAAATAGTATAAAAACTCATAAACATATGGATGTATAAACAAATAACACACACACATTCTTCTTCAGGACCTGATTAAGAAATCATGTGCTGATAAATACTTGAGAGAAGAGGCAGGGTTTTAACCTGGGACTGAAAAGATAATCTTCCTTCCTTCCTTCCTTCCTTCCTTCCTTCCTTCCTTCCTTCCTTGTGTTTATATACTGTCCAATCATTATAAAATCAGGACGGTTCACACACACACACACACACACAGATACAAAGTCAAAGACAGTTATTACAACAGTAAAGCAGTTAAAAACTCCTAAGTGCCACTACTTGGTACAACTTAATTAAAATACCATAATCAATTTAAAAACTGAGGAAGTTTTAGCCTGGTGCTAAAACAATAAAGTGTCGGTGCCAGGTGCACCTCTCTGTGGAGCAAGTTCCATAATTGGGGTGCTATTGCAGAGAAGGCCCTCCTTCTCGTAACAGCCCCCCTCACCTCTTTCAAGGAGGGCTCTAAGCAGAGGGCCTCCTTGGGTGATTTTAGGGTCCAGGCAGGCTCATATGGAAGGAAACTTTCCCTTAGATAACCAGACCCCAAACTGTTTAGGTCTTTATATGTTGTTATTAATACCTCAAATCAGGCTGCCATAAGGGTGGTGACAAAGAGGCATTGCTGGGAAGGTTGCTGCATAAATGAGGGGCCTTGCCTGAGAAGGCCTCTCCCTTTTTGTGTCCTCCTGAATCTCCTTCAGATGAGGCACCTGAAAATGAAGGATAAGGTCATGTCTGGAGAGTTGCTCTGTGAAGTTGTGCAATCCCAAACTGTGTAAGGGCTTATCGCTCTAATTTCAGGGCACCCTAAATTGGCTCAAACATACAGGCAGCCAGTGCAACTGGACTAGAATTAGTGTTTTTATTATTTATTTATTGGATTTCTATCTTGCCCCATTAGGATGGTTACAGGATTATAAAATAGACAATAAAATAGGTAATATTAAATTTAACAAATAATACAACAGTATAATCCAACCATCAAAAAACCAAGAGCTGCTATAAAACTTAATTATAACCTCAGGGCTTTGCCAACAGAGAGATAATAAAAGGCACAACAGCAAGATGTAAAATATGATACAACATAAGATAGATGTTTCTGTTGTCCTTATCAGTCTGGTAGCTGCATTTTACATGAGCTGCAGTTTCTGATCTATCTTCAAAGGCAACATCTGGGAACCCTCCCTGAAGGAGGTAAAAAGGACATCTACTCAGAGTAGGGCCTTCTCTGTGGTGGTGCCCAGATTGTGGAATGGGCTCCTCAGAAAGTTCACCTGGCACCGAGACTATATTCCTTTTGGTGCCAGGTTAAATCCTTTTTATTTAAACATTATTTTAAAATATAATAATTTTAATAACAGTAGCATTGATTTATTTTATTGGTTATATATTATTGTACTGTTTTATTGATTGTTTTTATTTGCTGTAAGCCATCCTGAGATGATTGTCATAAAGGATGGCATACAAATGTTTTAAATAAAACAAACAAACAAACATCACAAACAGCAACTTAGAATAATTTAATTTGAAGGTTACCAGGGCATAGATAGCTGAAGCCATATTATTCCTGTCTAGCTGGGCTACCAAGTGAAGTTGGTAGAAGACCCTTGGGGTGCACTATAGCTTACTCTTACTTGGAACATGTGAGCTTCAAGTGACAAAGATGGCTCCAGAAGAACACCCAAGCTATGAGTGTGCTCCTCCATCTTTCATCTGATCAGAAGAACTGCTGAAAGTTGAAAGCCCAAATAAATGCTGAATAATTGTATAGGAAGAAAGGATTCATCGGAAGAATGTTTGGAATGCTTAACAGCACAGTGCACAGAAATCGTGGCACACTATGTGCAATTCTAGCAAATCAGTCCTTATTCAAGCATTGTCTATGGATAGTTTAACTCTCATGTTTCAGCTCACAACTTCAGTGGGGCTTGTTCCCAGGTGACTGTGCAGGAGTAGACTCTTAATACTCACAATTGCAGGGAGGCTGAGAAATAGCTGAACGATGTATTTGAATATCAAAAAAGACATGTTGATTCTAAAGATGGTTATTAACTCTCAGGCTTATATGGAAAATGGAGGTTTATTTCTCTGCATTTAGCCCATCAGTAACCTTGTTCTAATCCATGAAGAAGAGAATTATGATGATGCTAATAAAGTGAAATTGAATCAATGTGGGTAGGGTGGTTGTGATCTGTTTTCTCATTTACATGGTATATATGGTTCATACAGCAGAATATTCCAGTGTTTTAATGTGAAATATAATTAACATAATATTACAATAGCTGGGACATTGAAGTACAAGTCAGAATGACATCAAATAAATTCTGAGGGTAGCCTGGAAATTTGAACCAAAGCTAAATGGATTTATAATGAAGGTATGGTGCAGAGAATCAAACTACAGTTGTAACTATTATGCTACCTTGGCAATTATCTGCAATTGTGTTCCTGTTAATGATGGGAACGTCAGAAACTTGGAATGAGTTTATGATCGGAAAAAGGCTATGATTTCAATTCTACTTGTATTGTGGTCCCACCTATATTCCGTGCCACCTTAATTGAAGCATTGCTACAGCAGACTATTTTGGACTACGGAAATTAAACCATTTTGTGTGATTATTTATGGCTGCTAATGGTCTCAGGATCTACATTTCAGAGAAGGAGATAATAAGTACACTTGAGAAGTGCATTATAGCAGGTACCCAGCATTTAAGTGTGTCATCCAAGTACTTAGAAAAATTAACTTTTGGGGGCAATTTTCCAAATGACAGCTGTTAAGCAGTACAACCACTTTCGTACATTAGGAAAACTGGTAATTTTTAGGCAATGGGGCAGCAGGAGGTTTGCAAGTATTAAGTAATATCAAGATTGGACATCTCCGTTTTTAACCACCAGGAGCAACTGCTTTGTGAAAAGTGCTGTGCTTAAGGATTTGAATGTGGCACATTTCAGCCTAGTCTGTAATAGAAATGTTCAAAGTCTGGGTTAAAGTTCCAAATGCACCAGTGGACTCTTACTGATTCACAT